TGTCGCATACTTAAGCAGAAAGTTACTACCCCGGGAAGTAAGTTATGCGGCAGTGGAGAAAGAGTGTTTAGCCCTGGTCTGGGCACTGAAGAAATTGAGCCCATATTTATACGGACAAGAATTCTCCCTTATTACGGACCATAACCCCCTTGTCTGGCTTAACCGGGTCTCAGGAGACAATGGCAGACTGCTGAGGTGGAGTTTGGCACTACAGCCTTACAACTTCACCATCAGCTACCGACCCGGTAAGCAGAATGGGAACGCGGATGGGTTGTCCCGGCAAACAGACGTCCCTACTTCTTCCCAGTCCGGTCATCCCCAAGTTGACCCGCCAAAGGGTCAAGCCGGGTCTGCCGGAGTGTTCCACAAGGGGGGAGCCGTGTGACAGACCCATCTGTCTGGATTATAAATGCTGTGTTCGCCTGTTTTGCCGGTTACATGAATTTCCCCATTCGTATGCTTTATTCAAGGGAATGTCGGTTTTGTCGAACGGAACTACCGAACGGACGGCCACCCAGAAGAGAAGTGTGCTGCTGGTTAACCTATTGATCCCAATTAGAACGTTGCGGTTAACCACAGACACTTCTCAATTAAAACCGAATGCCGGGTGGTCGTCGTTCGTATGTCGACCACGAGGCGGCGGCCATTTTGTCCATGCGAACGACCAGCGGTGTTCGATTATTTCATGGATCGGAAAACGGACACTTTTTCAGCCGAACACCGCTGAAGCCGTCGACCTCCCCTTCTCAATCGACAAAAGTATACGAATGCCAGCCGTTCGGGAGATTCAACCACACGAATGGACTTAACCCAGATAGCCGTCCCATGGAGTCAATCGCATACCGACGAACTGAAAGAGACTTTGACTCCATGGCGATTGAACTGTGCGAATGGGATCTGAGCGCTATTCTTCAATAATGTGCCCTCAGATCCAGGCTATCTGGGGATATGCAATACGAATGTAATATGTTCGGCAGTTATGAAGTTATGGATTTTAATGTGTTTTTGTGACTTGTGTTTAAAATGGCGATTGCCTCTGCTCGGGGAGATAATTGAGTTACTTCCCAATTATCCCTCGAGCAGAGGGGAGGAAACTGTGATGCATGCTGGGAATATTGTGGGGATGTATGTCCAAAATGTCCCCATGTCCCTCTGATTTCAGTCTCCCATTTGGTCCCCTAGGGGAGTGTCCACCAAGTGGGAGACCTGTATAAATACCGGGCAGGTAGCCCACAGTAAATCAGTTCGTGTTTTACCCTCAAAGCGGAGCTTGGTCTCGTTATTGGGGGGATTGGGATACCAGCGGCGAGAGACTGCTTATTTGGATTATTTGCCGCTTGGGAGATATTGTCGTTCGGTTACTAATTGCCGTTCGTGGATTTGCAGCTCGTGAAGGGAATTAGCCGTACAGGTACCGTTCGGGAGTTTGGAGTGTTCCCTGACTGGCGGTTCGCATGGTTTTATTATACCCGCTACCCGACCACATTATTGCGAACAGGGAATACTCGCTAAACGGCGGTTTGTACATTTCAGTACTGGAGGTACCGTAACAATACATAATATCATAAAGATTTATATCACATATACAGCCCATATAGATAGGACTGGTTGATCAGAGAGGACAAAGTACTAATATAAAAATGTGAGAATATATATAGAAAAATAAATAAAATAAAATGTAATGAGCTGGTACTAAAAATGCATAGTATATGCATTTAAAGAGATATAAAAAATCCTATAAAATACTATAAAAAATGAGCCAGATCTAAATTTAAACCATTGGGGGATAGAGTGTTTAACGCAACTATCCACCTTGTCAGGGCCCTGCGGGCGGCTATAAAGGGAGGAGCCAGCGCACTTCTGCGAACGCCAGGGTCAGTCACATGATCCGGCATTAAAGACACAGTACCATAATCACAGTGGGAGGTGTAAATATCCCCCACGTGTGTTTGTGAATTCTGATTGGAAGTTATCCAATCAGAATTAAGCACAGGATTTATATACGGTACCTTTTCTGTCTCTCAGTGCCCTGTTGTGGTCTTGTGATACCTGTAGTGCAGTTTGCTCATGTTTCTCTCTGGTTACCAATTATTTGGCTTGTTATTCCGATTATCCTGTCTTCTCCACTCCTTTGACCTCGGCTTGTTTCTCGCTCTCCTGTTTTCTGGCTCGCTTTACTTGTCTTGTCTCCTGACTATTCTTAGTGTGCTTAACCCGGCCATTTTAAGGACCGGTACAGCACCCTTCCTCTCTGTGACCTGTTAGCGTGTTAGGTTCCCGAATCGTGACACCTGCTTTCAAATTTGCAAAGTTCTTTAAAATTGTCCTTGCCTCTCCAATCCTTTTTCTTTTGGGCAATGGCAATAAAACTAACATGGGAAGGGTCACTATTGTGGCATTGTGAAAAATGTGCAGAGACACTGTGTTTAGCGTACCCCCTCTGTATATTACCTAAATGTTCCAATATGTGAGTTTTTAGGGCCCTCGTGGTCATTCCCACATATTGTAATCCACAAGGGCAACAGAGGAGGTATATCACATTGCTAGAATGGCATGTGAGAATAGAATTAATTTCATATTCCTTTTTTGATACATTAGAAATAAATTTAGTATGTGTATCTTTTTTGAATTTTGTTCTTTTACAAACTGTGCACGTTTTACACGGATAGGAACCATGCTTTTGATTAAAAACATTGGTGTTGGTAACATTGGTTTCTGTATTCTCCATTCCTTTGACCTCAGCTTGTTTCTCGCTCTCCTGTTTTCTGGCTCCCTTTACTTGGCTTGTCTCCTGACTATTCTTAGTGTGCTTAACCCAGCCATTCTAAGGACCGGTATAGCACCCTTCCTCTCTGTGACCTGTTAGCGTGTTAGGTTCCCAAATCGTGACATTACAACAGGGCCACCATGGAACCTGCTGACATTCCACAGCTGTTAGTGAATCAGGAGACTAGAATGGATGGTTTAGACCACCGTATGCATCAATTTGCTCAAGTTTTACAAACCATACTGGCTCATACTGCCCACTTGCAACCTGCCGTTCAAGAAGCTGTTGCTGCTGTGCCAGAACCCATTCCCGATCCAGTACCCGTTCCTGCTCACGTAGTTCACATGACGCCACCACAGCGCTATAGCGGTGATCCAGCATTGTGTCGTGGTTTCCTCAACCAAATTGATATTCATTTGGTGATAAATCCTCGTTCCTACCCCACTGATAGAACCAAAATTCCTTTTTTAATTAACCACTTGTCCAGGAAAGCTTTAGCATGGGCTAATCCCATGTGGGAGAATACGTCCCCAATGTCCTTTGCAGACTTTTTGACAGCTTTCAAATGCACATTTGATCAACCCGGTAGGGTTGCTTCTGCTGGCAAAGCTCTGCTTAGGGTCCGACAAGGTAATAGATCTGTAGCGGCTTATACTATTGAATTCCGCACTCTAGCAGCTGAAGTTGTTTGGAATAACGATGCCCTCGTAACAGCCTTTGAGGAGGGTTTGGCCGCTTACATACTAGATGAAATAGCATCCAGGGAATTGCCTGTTCTTCTGGATGATGTAATAGACTATATCATTCTTATTGACAACCGGATTAGAGAGAGGCGTAGTCAAAGACGGATGAATACACAAGGGCTACCTGCTTTACCCAGTACTGCATTACTAGCATTACCTCCTCCTAATCAACCAGCTCCCGAACCCATGCAATTGGGTGCTACAGGGTTAACTGAAGCTGAAAGAGCGTATCGCAGAAGGGAGGGGTTATGACTTTATTGTGGAAAGAGGGGGCATCTCCGAAGAACCTGCCCTAATTTGCAGGGAAACTCCAGCACCTAAGGCCTAGAGAGGGGTCGGCCTCAGGTGTTATGATTTTTTCCTCTCAAGGGTCCATCTCTAGACCGTTTATTACAGTTACTCTTTTGGTCAATCAAACCACTATAACAACCAAAGCCTTGATCGATTCTGGTGCTGCAGACAACCTTATGGATGAGAACTTTGCTAAAACCGCAGCTTTGACTCTGATCCAAAAGGTCACACCCTTGGCCGTTGAGGTGGTAGACCACTTAAAAAACCTCTGGTGACCCACGAAATACAAGAAATGGTTATGACTGTGGGTGCCTTGCACAGGGAAAGGTTAACCTTCCAAATAATTGACTCCCCTACAGCTTCCATCGTTCTGGGTTTTCCCTGGTTGATTAAACACAAACCAGTACTTGATTGGGGTCGTTTAGATATACTCTCCTGGGGGGAATTTTGTCAACGAGACTGTATGGCCCATATACGTTCTGTTTGTTTACTTAATGTGCCCACAGCTAAACCACTTTCTGTTTCTGTCCCTTCTGTGTATGCAGACCTTGCATTGGTTTTAGAAAAAAAGGGAGGCTGATAAGCTACCTCCACACCGTGAGTATGACTGTGCCATAAACCTGTTACCAGGTACTATGCCCCCTAGGGGTAAGGTCTACCCGCTTTCTGAGAAAGAAAACCAGGTCATGGAGGAGTACATACAGGAATCCTTAGGTAAAGGTTTTATCAGAAGGTCCTCCTCTCTTGCCGGTGCTGGTTTCTTTTTTGTTGCCAAAAAAGAAGGCGATTTGAGGCCATGTATAGACTACAGGGGCCTGAACAATATAACGGTTAAAAATGCCTATCCTATCCCTCTCATCACTGAGTTGTTTGATTTTGTTAAAGGTTCTAGATATTATATTAAACTAGACCTCAGTGGGGCTTAAAAACCTTGTTTGTATAAAAGAAAATGATGAATGGAAAACAGCGTTCAATACGCGTAGTGGGCATTACGAGTATCTAGTCATGCCTTTTGGACTATGTAATGCTCCTGCTGTGTTTCAGGACTTCATAAATGATGTCCTTAGAGATCTACTGCATATCTGTGCCGTATAAAAATGGTGGGGGTTTCAGCGCTTAGTGTCTCAACAGAACAGTGGAAAATATGAGTATAGGCAGCAACCTAAAATAGAGACGTTCCCTCACAGTGCGTCAAAGAAATGGAGAATCTAAAGGAAGTATTGGGTCGCGCCAAAAAATAGATATAACTATATTTTGATTTTGTTATATCTATTTTTTGGCGCGACCTAATACTTCCTTTAGATTCTCCATATCTGTGCCGTAGTCTACCTTGATGACATACTGGTATATTCTCCTGATTTAAAGACACACCATACTCATGTGAGGTTGGTGCTTAAGAGGTTGTTGCAGAATGGTCTTTATTGCAAGCTAGAGAAATGTTTATTCAACCAGATATCTGTACAATTCCTAGGGTATGTAATTTCTGAAAAGGGATTCAGCATGGATCCTTCTAAACTAGAAGCCATACTGTCTTGGCCTCTTCCCCAAGGACTTAAGGCTATACAGCGGTTTTATAGGGTTTGCCAATTATTATCGGAAGTTTATTAAAAACTTTTCATCAATTATTTCTCCAATCACGAAACTGAATAAAAAAGGTTTGCACCCCAGGGTTTGGACTCCTGAAGCCGTTAAAGCCTTCGAGACTCTCAAAGGCATTTGCCACTGCCCCTGTACTACACCATCCAGATCCTTCCCTTCCCTTTTATTATGGAAGTAGACGCTTCTGAATCAGGTGTAGGAGCAGTGTTGTCTCAAAGACAATCGCATGTCGAACCCCTCCATCCCTGTTACTTTTCTAAAAGGTTGTTTGATTCGGGAAAAAATTACGACGTCGGAAACAGGGAACTATTAGCTATTGTGATGGCTTTTAAAGAATGGAGGTACTTATTAGAGGGAGCTAGACACAAAATCCTGGTTATAACTGATCATAAGAATCTCTCCTATATAGCTGACGCTAAAAGGTTATCCTCTCGTCAGGCTAGATGTTCTTTATTTCTTTCACGCTTTCAGTACATTATCACATATAGGCCTGGATACTGTAATGTCAAGGCTGATGCTATCTCCCGACAGTACGAACCATTAGAGTCGATTGTCCCCGCTCCTGAACCCATTGTGCCTACATCCACGATAATAGCTGCTACCCGTTTGTTTATTTTGTCTCTTTTCCTTGAGGGTATCAAGACATACCAATCCCAAGCACCTCCTGAGACACCTGTTGGTAGATTATACGTGAAAGAAAAAGACAGAAAGAAGATATTAGCTTTATTTCACACTGCCAAAACCGCGGGTCATCCAGGGGTTACCAAAACATACAAGGGCCTTCTACAACAGTTTTGGTGGCCCTCCCTTAAACAAGATGTGATAGATTATGTGCAGGCTTGTCGTGTTTGCACACAGTGTAAGTCCCCTAATGTTAAACCCCCGGGACTCCTAATGCCCCTATCTGTACCCAAGAAACCATGGACCCGCTTATCCATGGATTTTATTGTGGATCTTCCTTCGTCTGATGGACTGACAGTGATTTTGACTGTAACCGATAGGTTCTCTAAAATGGCACATTTTATTCCACTTAAAAAACTACCTTCTGCGGTTCAGTTGGCTCAGGTGTTTGCCAAAGAGGTGTTCCGCTTGCACAGTATACCACAGGATATCGTATCCGACAGGGGTCCTCAATTTGTCTCTCTGTTTTGGAGGGGCTTTTGTGCTGAGATGGGGATCTCCCTGTCATTTACTTCCTCCTATCATCCACAATCTAATGGAGCTGCCTAACGGGCTAATCAATCTGTGGAGTTATATTGGCGCTGCTTCACAAATGCGCACCAGGACAACTGGTTTCATCTCCTTCCCTGGGCTGAATTCACCAGGAATACCATGACTCATTTGTCCACTTTTATGGTAGCTTATGGGTTCCAACCCTCTGTCCTTCCCGGTGTGTTCTCAGATAAAGGAATGCCCGCTTTGGATGATCCCCATCCCTCCTTGCGGAAGATGTGGGATCAGGTTCATGCTGCTCTCTCTCGTACGGTTGCTGCGCAGAAGAGATTTGCTGATCGTCGTAGATGTCCGGCTCCTTCTTATGTCCCAGGTGATAGGGTTTGGTTGTCCTCCAAGAATCTCTGCCTCAGGGTTCCCTAGATGAAATTCGCGCCCAGGTTCCTTGGTCCCTATAGGGTTTTGCGTAGGGTTAATCCCGTATCCTACTCCCTGGCCTTGCCTCCTTCTATGCTTATACCTAACACTTTTCACACCTCCCTTTTGAAGCACTGGCTCTGTAATTGGTTCTCTGGTTCTCTCAGGCGTCCCGATTCCCCCCACGCGGTCTCCAGTGATGTGTATGAAGTTGCTGCTCCAGTGACGTGTACCCCCATCGCAGTACCGACTAACTGTAGAAAGAAAGAACCATCAATCCAAAAGAAGTTGTTAGTGATAATTAAGCGAATGCTATCTATAATGAAATTCATCTGGCTATCAAACTTATTGCTGTGTACTAAAAAGTGTTTAATGGCTTCACAGCGCAGTTCATTTGAGATAATTGTGTATAAGCTAGACACGTCACATGTAACCATATGATAATCTTCTTCCCATTGGATATTCTGTAAAATCTTTAATAACTGTGTAGAATCCCTAAGATAAGTAGGTTGTGATGTCACCAGAGGCTGGAGTTGTCTGTCTATATATTCAGACAGCCTACTCAATAGGGAGCCAATCCTGGATACTATGGGCCTTCCAGGAGGTTTCTTTATATCCTTATGGATTTTTGTTAGGATGTAAAGAACTGGTATACAACATACCGATATATTTAAGTATTTGTACTCATGTTTATTAAGAATCCCATCTTCCATTCCTTTACTTAGTATACTTAGTAATAGTGTATATTTCTTTCTTATTTCCGAAGTAGGGTCAGCCTTTAGTTTGATATAGGTGGAGGCATCGTTCAACTGTCTGTATACTTCTTCCTTATAATCTGCAACATTCAATATGACGATGCCCCCACCCTTATCTGCTGGCTTAATGACAATGTTGTGATCCTGTCGGAGATGCCCCAAGAGCTTTAATTTGAGGGTAATTAATGTTACTTTTATTTTTCTTTCTCCTAGGTATTTGTCTCACATCTTTTGTTACTTATTTCTCAAAAACTCTCATTTCTCCACTAAAACGATTTTTAGGAAAAAATATCCCCCAATGGTTTAAATTTCGATTTTGAGCTGGCTCATTTTTTATAGTTTTTTTATAGGATTTTTTATAGGATTTTTTGTATCCTTTTACATGCATATACTATGCATTTTTAGTACCAACTCATTACATTTTATTTTATTTTTCTATATATATTCTCACATTTGCATATTAGTACTTTGTCCTCTCTGAGCAACCAATCCTATCTATATGGGCTGTATCTACATATTGTATATGTAAAATAAATCATTATGATATTATGTAAAATTACTCTTCATGTCTCTTATCATTTCCCCCTTGTAGGGGATCCATAGAGAAGAGATATATATGATTATTGTTATCTTTTTTATAGGTGCACATATTGCTATGTTACTTTATATTATGATGAATTGTCCATTTTTATGCACTTTACGAGTTATTATAGGTGCCCATTTACAATATGGAGCTTTCTGCTTCAATTGGGCAAATGAACTGAATTAAACTACACTGATAAAATTAGCGCCGAAAAAAACGGAATTAACATCAGACGCCGGTCAGCCGAAATTCCGCCCACGGGACCGGCAGCCATAGAAGCAGCGAATTTAAAAGGAAAAGCAGCTGGATGATTTTTATGCACTGATGAAAACTCAGACTGAGTTGAAACGTGTCTGCATAGCTGTGAGCTTGTGTGTCACCATATGGGACCTGCACAGTTTGTTTTTTAACATTTATTGTAGTAATTTTGTTTATTTTTAATATCATCATTGCATCATTTTCCTAAGTCTTGGGGGACATCATTCAAGATCATAGCCTTTTGAGGCACCCTTGGGCATTATACACAGAGCCTGACACGGCTCTGGAATCTGTGAGTGTATCCAATTACTCTTATATTCATTTATTTGTAAATTCAGTCTATACTATGTAATGTTTTTTGTGTTGTTTTAGGAATCTATTACATGGAACATTATCTGCATATATATCTGCACATGTATAAGTATTCTTAACTACTTTTGGTCATTTTCTTTTGGTACCATTTGTACACAGGGAGGTGTGTGCGTATGTGGCACTTGTTGTCCTCAAGTACCTTTATTTTACTATTTGATTTTAGGGTGTTGGGGAACAGCTTTCTCACTCCATGTGTTTATATTGTTTATTTTTTACTGTGTAAGCGCCATTCACTCATTTTCTTTTCATATTTTGACACAATAGATTCTACAAGATAGGTTAGGTGTTTGCATTTTTTTTTTTGCTGTGTATTTATTATGCAGTGAAATTGCCGAACAATACATTAATACAATCAGATTTAAAGGAAAAGACCAAGCACTATAACCACTACAGCACGCTGGAGGCTAAATTGAGCTGGGAGCTGCACCCTCGGTAAGAAGTTAATGTGATTTAAAATAGTTTGATTACTTTTATTGGTGGGGTTCCAGTGCACTCCTGGCATCATAAGCATTACAGTATGCTGTAGTAGTTATGGTGATTGGAGTGTTACTTTAACATAATACAGTGGGACCTCTGTTTACGGAATTAATGCGTTCTCCTTGACGTTTCTTATTGTGAAACATTTGTAAACCGAAATGCGGTTTCCCATAGGAATGCATTGAAAACCAATTAATCCGTTCTGGAGGTCAGAAAAAAGTAAAAATAAGCTGGCATGGAAACCAACCCACAATGCAGAACACATAATAACAGGCATGCAAACGACAAAGCTCAGCTCCCTACCTTTCCACAGCTTGAGAAATGCACCAAAAAGTCCCAAAACAACTGCAAACAATTTCCAGAATGGCTCCAAAACGTAATGCAAAAGCCGCTCCAACACCTCCACACTCGACGCCACGTGCGACCCACATGCTCCAGCATGCAGGGGGTGGTGCTATAAACCTCCCAGGTGCCATGCATCCTGGGGAAACTTGCTTTGTAGTGAGAAATTTTTTTGTAAACCGAGGCATTATTTTTAATGGATTTTCATTTGTAAACCGAAAATTATGTTAACCAAGGCGTTTGTAAACCGAGGTCCCACTTACTAGAAAATAGCAAATAATACTAGATTTGCATTCAGAAGTCTTTATTAAATTCTAGTTTCTTTTCATTGTGTCCAAGAAATAATCAGGACAATTACCATAGTAATCACAATAATGAGATAAACTATAACAATCAGGCGATCGAACACCACTGCTGCCGTATACCACTCGGACTTCACATTATCCTGGTCAATGGATGTGTTCCACTTCTCATGGATCTTCACAATCTCTGCCAGTATCTTTCTTAGAAGTTTTATCTCTGGGTTAGGTTTTATTTTTTTCTGAAACTTCTTCCTCTTCTCAGGCAGGTGGGATTTTATCTTTGTGTTATTATTGTTGTAACAATCTGCAAATATGAGAAATTAGACACTAAATAATTTTGTGTGAGGTACATGACCAAGCCATTTTATACCCTTATAAACTGCTATGTTTATAAATGGGTTAATCCAGCCCTCAAATCCTCTAGTGGCTGTCTCATTGACAGCCGCTAGAGGCACTTGCGTGATTCTCACTGTGAAAATCACAATGAGAAGACGCCAGCGTCCATAGAAAAACAAGAAACGAGACCAGCTGAATGCGCGCACAGCTCGTGCCGCGCGTGCGCATTCAGCCGAAAGGGAGGAGAGGAGGAGGATCGGAGGCGGAGAGCTCCCCGCCCGGCGCTGGAGAAAGGTAAGTTTTAACCACTTTCCTCTCCCCAGAGCCGGGCGGAAGGGGGACCCTGAGGGTATGTTTTCCTGGCACTATAGTGGTCCTTTAAAGGAAAACACCAAGCACCATAACATTAATTTGTAAATCTCATCTGGTGCCATTACTAAGAAAAGTGAAACCATTTGCATATCACAATGATCCCACCAAAAAACAGTTCAGATCCAAGATCCAGGTTGACTCTATATCATGAGAGATACAGCTGGGATGAAATCTCTGGGATGGAGAAGTACTTGGAGGTGGTAATACTGTAGTGAGAAAAAGAAATGAGAGAGGGAGACACTGGTGATAGAGAGTTAAGGGGGCATTGACTGAGCTGGGAAACAGTTAAGGAAGTTTACCAATGATTTAAAAAAGTAAAAAACAAATTATATTATTTTCTTTTTACAAATTATTCACTAAACAGTGAATCATAGGGGTCAGCAATCACATCAGAACTTGAAATTTGATCTTTTATCATATTATATTACATAGTTACATAGGCTGAAAATAGTCCATCATGCTCAGCCTTTCTCGGATCTGTTTTTGCTGTTGCTCCAAAAGAAGGCAAAAAATACTAATTTAAATAGCTTTCCAATTTTGCAATAAACTAGGATTACGTTCCTTCTCCTTCTAATCTCCTTCTAAACTACATATAATAAAGCTATGTTCTTTTTACTGTTTGACTCTATAATTAAGCACTTATGGCAGTTCAGATCAGTTTTCTTCTATCATAAGCCAAACTCTTAATTAATCAATTAATTTAAGCTCAGAAACCAGGACCACAAGCCATGACAGCAAATATCACAGAACTTTTTATTGACTTTGGTTGGTGAAAACATTTTTTTCCCAGCTTAATTATAAATCAACTTATTAGTGTTTAGAGGACTCTTAAATAAAATATAAATATATTTGAATTCATTTTGTCTCAGGTTCTCATAATCTTCAGAAAGTTATTAATGTTTAAATGCCCAGATCACTGTAATTGAGAGACATCAAAGAGCTCTAGTTTGAAAAAAAAAAAAAAAACAATGCCCCTTGGTACGTAGATTTGTGTATAATCTATCCGTCAAATGAAAATGGAATATAATAAAACATTAGTTTTAAAAAAATAATTAAAAAAAAAAAAACTGTGTGTGCCATACGCCAGGGCCTGCACAACCCTCCACAAGATAGTTGAATCAGTTATACTGAGAAATCTATATGAGCCCTTGTTTGAAAGAAAGAAATCCCCTATTTCAAACATTGACATTAAACTTAGGTGTATATATCTGTGTTAATAACTAAAGTGAGAATTGTCGGGAATTCAAAGTGAATTAACTTTTTTAGCCAAAGGAACCAAAATAAAAATGACTGAAGTGGATATATTTATGTGGTTATTTTGAAATTCACTTTAATTTCTTTGAATTTTTCCAGCAGTTAACACTTTAGTGAATAACCCAAGTATTGTAGGTGATACAAAGTTCTACTTTTTTTTTTCTGTCTGCGCTATATTTTTCAAAAGCTAAACTATTTTTATTTAGAACAAAGAAATAAATGCATTTTGCCAACTTTTAAACATATATTCTTATGGGATTTTTTTTTAGCCATTTAGTTGACAAATGTCATAAGAATTTTGTTAGAGTAGAGATTGTAGCTGTGTTAGTCCAGTGATGCATATATAAAATAACAGATTACATTTGTATCTTGTAATACCTTTTTTATTGGACTAACATAATTTTGAAATGACAAGCTTTCTGGAGAACCTCCCTTTCTCAAGTCTAAAGGATTTTGTCTTTGTTTAAATATGCTTTAGACTTGAGAAAGGGAAGTTCTTCCGAAAGCTTGTCATTTTAAAATTCTTTTAGTTTAATTAAAAAAAAGTATTACAAGATTTGAATTTCATTTTTTATTTTACATTTATACGATTTTGGAATATTTGACACAAGCCTTTGAGATAGAAGTTATCCCATACATATATTATGGGTTCCAATACTGTCACTTTTTCTTCTGTGAGCACTCACCTCTGTCCAAGGGGTGTACTGTTTCCAGATCTTTTTGGGCACCATCACATTTGACAAACATCACACGTGCTATATTTCTTAGAAAACAATTGTTCATCCACGTTGGAACTTTAGATTGCTCGTAAGATAATTTCATCAAGTAAGAGGAACACACACAGCCAGCTATACTGAAAATCATTGTACCCATGCACACACAGAAGAATACACCTGTTCGAAAATCAAACAGCAAAATTATTACAAAACTTTCTAACAACAATGCAGTGTCCTCAATCTACCCTGGTCCCTAATATTTTTAGTTTTTTATCATTTTTGCTTTACTGTGTTGATACTGTACTGTAAAATATACATAAACAACTATCCAGGAAATGTTACTAATGGAATTTAAATTGCGGTATACACTGATCCGCCACAATATCAAACCATCTGCCATATCATGTAGGGCCCCCTCATGTTCCTAAAAAGCTCTCACAACATTTTAACATGTCCGGTGTATCTGGCACCAAGACGTTAGCAACAGATCCTTTAAGTCCTGCAAGTTGCGAGGTGGGGGCTTTATGGATCAAATTTGCTGTTCCACCACATCCCACAGATGCTCAATCAGATTGAGATCTGTGGAATTTGGAGGTCAAGGCAACTCCTTGAACTCTTTGTCATGTTTCTTAAAGCATTCCTGAACAAAGTTTGTAGTGTGGCAGGGTGCATTATCTTTCTGAAAGAGGCCATCAGGTAACACATTTGCCATGAAGGGATGTATGTTGTCTGCAACATTCTCTAGGTAGGTGATACATGTTAAAGTAAAGTAACATCCACAGGAATGCCAGGATCCAAGGTTTCCAAGCAGAACATTGCCCAAAGCATAACACTGCCTCTGCCGGTCTGCACCCCACAAGAATTACTGTTTTGGAGGTGCTCTGACCCAGTCATCTAGCCATCACTATTTGGCTCTTGTCAAAAAAAATTATTTTTGCTTGCCCATATTTTCCTGCTTCCAACACGTGAAATTTAAGAACTGACTGTTCACTTGCTGCCTAATGTATCCCACCTATTGGCAGGTGCCGTTGTAATGAAATAATTAATAGTATTAGCTTGTTTTTATCAGTTGTTTTAAGGTTGTGGCTGATCAGTGTATAAGCATATACATTAAACAGAAAGCACCCATTCATGTGCTGAGGTGGCAAATTAGCACTCTTCTAACAAATATATAAATTTTTGTTTACACGTGCAAATTAAACTAACTTATGTATATTTTCTCACAAGGCTTTTTATTTATTTTTTTGTGAAGAACAGCTTGTTGATCCAATGGGAAATCTGACTGCTATTTTGGAGTCAATAAGATTGTTTGATATCGTGAGGGGAAAAAAAAATCGAAATTGCTTTCAATTGAATTAGTCCTGGATCAGTAGCACCATAAAGATATGTGAAAGGCTGAACTTGATTTGCAAGAGCTTTTTTTTAGTGTATATTAATAGGTAACTACATACAGAGAGATTCATAAACTAGATTCTTCCATATCATTCCAGCTTACACACAGGAAAAAAATCCCTAATTTTACCACATTACAGGAGGCTTCATATTTTGCATAACTTTCTTTACTATAAATCTCCAGCAGCACAGATCAATAAAAAAAAAAAACCTAACCAATCAAAAACAAGAGATATGACATATAAGACAGGACTGCCCCCTACTCCTCCTCCTTCTTTGCTGCTCCAGCAGAGGCACAGGTCAGAGTATTGAATTATAGTACTTTGCTTATGATTTATTCATTATTTCACAGTATTTAACTCTACTTGTTTCTTACATTCACTTTCCATGAATCCTATTATTTATTCTGTCACCTTGGGTCTTAGGGCCCTTTTTACAGCCTCCCTGGCTTTCCCGACAGCCTATTCTACCCTTAAGCTCATGGACCGCGGCCAACATGTTCATCTATATATCTCTAAAGCTTGTCTGCTAACTAACCAGGAATTCCTGTCTGGGGTGGCAGCTTCGTACTCACTAACCCTTTCCTGTTTCTGTGTGGACTCCCGTGGGTCCTCATGCGCAGTGGTCATCTTGGAAATCTTGCGGGTGCACGAGATTAATGCTGGCCATTCTGTTTTTACTTACAGGTGATCAGTGATCGCCTGCAACACATTTTCAAGTGCCAACACCACACTGGGCCTGCAATTGTTAATAGGCCCCTTGGCATACCAAAAATAGGAGTGGACAAACTGCTGAACAGTAATTAAGATGCAATACATGGAAATGCTGATTTTTATGAGGAATGTACTGTGATGTGTATACATATATACTCAGTCTGAGGGCAAATAAGCATACTGTGGTTACATTACCTGTGTACATTATATTGTGGAGTTCCCAGGGCCGGTGCAAGGATTTTTGCCACCCTAGGCAAAAGAAAGATTTGCCGCCCCCCCTCGACCCCCGGGACATCGCAATGCCCCACCCATATAATATGCCATATGAACTAATGTCAGTACTGCACACAGTGTGTGTTTACATTTAAAAGCCTGCAGGGACAAACTATAGACACCAGAGCAACTTTATTAAGCTGCAGTGGTTCTGGGGACTATAGTGTCCATTTAATGTGAGGTAAATTAGAGATTAGTGTCACTAATAATATACCGTATATACTCGAGTATAAGCCGACCCGAATATAAGCCGAGGCCCCTAATTTTACCACAAAAAACTGGGAAAACTTATTGACTCGAGTATAAGCCTAGGGTGGGAAATGCAGCAGCTACTGGTAAATTTCTAAATTAAATTAGATCCCAATAAAATTACATTAATTGAATATTTATTTACAGTGTGTGTATAGAATGAATGCAGAGTGTGTGTTTGTGTGTGTTTGTGTGTGTATATATAATGAATGCAGTGTGTGTGTGTGTATATAATGCAGTGTGTGTGTTTGTGCAGTGTGTGTAAACTGGATGAGGGGAGGGCATTTTTATTTTTATTTTTTTATTTTATTATATTATTTTAATATTATATTATATTATTTTAATAATATTATTATTATTTTAATATTTGCATTATTTTTTTTAAATGTTTTTTTGTCCCCCCTCGCTGCTTATTGCCTGGTCAGGGTGGGGGGACAAAAAACCATTTTTTTAAAAATAATGCAAATATTAAAATAATAATAATATAATAATAAAATTATATTAAAATAATATAATATTAAAATAATAATATTATTTTATTATTAACTGTGGTCACAAAATTCAATGTTCTGGAAGAACGGGAAGCAGCTCCATTTTTTGGGGCGTCTTACATAGCTCAAGGTCTGAGCCCCAGGGCCTGACAGTGAGTATGCCCACAAAGCCCACCTACATGTTCCACCCATGAGTTCGCTCACAGGGAGTGGAGTGTGTAGGGGATGTGTTATGTGTTACTGTAGAGGATCTAATGTGTGTGCTTATGGAATGTAGTGTATAGGGATACCAGTTTGTGTAGGTGATGTAGTGTGCTTGTGTGTAGTGGAAGCAGTGTGTTTTTGTGTAAGGGATAGAAAGCAGTGAGTGTTTGTGTATAAGGGATGTATTGTGTGTTTCTTGTTGTATGTAAGGGATGCATTGTGTGAATCTGTGTTTGTATGTATAAGGGATGAAAAGTGTGTTTCTGTGTATGTAAGGGATGCAGTGTGTGTGTCTGTAAGGGGTGCGTTGAGTGTGTGTAAGAGATGCATTGTGTTTTTGTGTGTGTGTAAGAGAAGCAGTGTGTGTTTGCATGTGTGTGTAAGGGATGCATTGTGTGTTTCTGTGTATATGTGCAAGGGATGCATTGTCTTTATGTGTAAGGGTTGCATTGTGTGTTTCTCTGTGTGTAAGGGAAGCATGTTGTGTTTCTGTGTGTATAGGGATGCATTGTGTGTGTGTGTGCGTGGTGTGAAAGAGCTCCCTGTCCTGCCCCCTGTCCTATAGAGCTCTCCCTTCCATCCCTTAGAGATCTCCCCTCACCTCCCTTAGTGGTCTCCTTTTCTCCCCGACTTTCCATTAGTGGTCTCTGCTCTCCTCTGCCCCCCTTTCCATTAGTGGTCTCTCCTCTCCCCCCTCCCCCAGTGGTCTCTCCACTGCCCCCTCCCTCCTTTAGGGGTCTCTCCCGCCTCCATATTCTCATCTCCCACCTTCGTGTTCTCCTCTTCTTCTCGCCCCCGTGTTCTCCTCTTATTCCCCCCTCCCTGTGTTCTCCTCTTCTTCTCCCAGGTCCCTGTAATCTCTTCTTCTCCCACGTAATCTTCTCTTCTTCTCCCCTGCTGTCTTCTTCTTCTCCCCCTCCTCCAATCTTCTCCACTCCCCCTCCTTCGCTGTATTTTTCCTCTTCTTCTCCCCCCTGTTTTCTCTTCTTCTCCCCCCCTGTAATCTTCTCTTCTTCTCCCCCCTCCCTGTAATCTTCTCCCCTCCCCCCCTGTAATTTTCTCTTCTTCTCCCCCTTCCCTCCCTGTAATCTCTTCTTCTCCCCCATAATCTTCTCTTCTTCTCCCCCCATAATCTTCTCTTCTCCTCTTCCCCCCCCTATAATCTTCTTCTTCTCCCCCTCCCTCGATCTTCTCCACTCCCCCTCCTTCCCTGTAACCTTCTCCACTCCCCTGTAATCTTCTCACCCCCCTGTAATCTTCTCCACTCCCCCTTCTCCCCCCTCCCTCCCTGTAATCTTCTCCTCACCTCCCCTGCCCAGTAGCGTGGCCGAGCTCCTCTCCAGTCCGCGACCCGGCCGGACTGACAGGAAGTGCACACTCAGTGTGCACTTCCTGTCTGTCCGGCCGGGTCGCGGACCGGAGAGGAGCTCGGCCACGCTACAGGGCAGGGGAGGTGAGGCAGTGCGGCAGCCGCCTGAGCACTCTCTACAGAGCGCTCAGGAGGCTGTGGCATTTAAAGGGCCGGCGATGGGGGCCCAGGGCGCCCCGTCCTATATGGCGCCCTAGGCGGCTGCCTAGTTTGCCTTATAGGAAGCGCCGGCCCTGGGAGTGCCTGGTGTGCCAACTGGGGAAACAGCAGCACGCAGGGGTGAGCCCCTGCTAACCTATTGGGGAGAGCCCCCACATGCCCAACAGATCTTAACCCAGCCTCTGGCTTAACAGGGAAGTATAGGGGTGAGCCCCCTGATTTCAGTACCTCCTTAATCCACATATGAAATATGATTTAAAGGGGCTATCCAGAGATACATACCTAAAATGTATATAAGGTACCTCTCAAACACATTGGGGACTTAGGGGTGAACCCCCTTTGGCTATTGGTGTCTATAAATGCCTCTCCATATTCACAATGGTTTTGTGCCCTTACATGGCAAGCCGCTCTCCATGACCAGTTTTGTGATTGAGCCCTCACAACACAATATCCAAATGGTGTTTTCATACACCCACACTCATACCAGGCAAACCCCAATTGTGCTGAGCAAGGGGTCTCCCCACCAGGCCTTGCTTACAAGAAAGTGTTCTAAAGTATACGTTCTCCACTCCACAGGACACTATATTACAATGTAGGACTCCCCTCCACAAAGCCAATACTTCCAGGGGATGATCAGCGATGCAGTGGCTGCATCCATGGAGATAGTGATCTCCAAGATGTTGGCACAATTGCCGCCTGACCTTCCCACGCAGGCTTTTTGGCTGACACCACAAGACACAGAAGACAACATGGGCTCTGAGGTTCATTCCAAGGACCTCCAATTCCTGACAAAATGCCAAAGAGCTGGTCTCACTGTGCCACACACTCAGGCAAAAGGAAAAGCACCTGCTAAATGCAGCAAACTTATTCCAAGATAGGAGATACCCCCACCAGTGGTATCTTTGGAGGATGAGGATGCTTAACCTTTTGACATCTCTACATGTCATAGACGAATGGTGGGCAGATGACTCCGAATCGGATGAGGAGAATAATTGGGAAGACATGCCTGCCTCAGACTCCAAGTATGTCAAAGAATCGTACGCTGAGGATTACTTCTCTCAGAACACACATGGGTCATCAAAGGGCGTTTATTGATAATCAGTTCCCGACTTAGTATTTGTATGTTTGCAAACACAAATGCAACCTAATGCATGGAGAGACGCAGAGTGGCCCTTATATGATTTGATTCAAAACTAATGAACATTGCCAATAAGGAATAAGGTTCACTACTCTCAACAAGGTGCAGTCGACTATGAGACAAGTATTCAGACCACTTCCAGGACAAGATTTTTGACAGGGCTGGTTGGTAAAGGAGCCATGCCACCAGCTGCTTCTGGAATTAAGGCTTAACCAAACCATCATCCGCCTTCTACCTGCTTCAACTTTGCGTACCACTTCGGCAATTCAATTTGGGTCAGCACTTCTGAAATTCGTCACTTCGGCAATTTGAAAATTCAGCAATTTGCCAATTCAGATGTCCAAATTTACATTCAGGCTGAAACGAATTGCACATGTCAACTCAGTGGTACAATATATAAACTGCTACAGGAGCTGACCAAAGACATTTCCAACTTCTGTCTCTTCCGCAACATAACATTATGTGCGGAATACCTCCCAGGAATTTCCAACCTCACAGGGGATTGCTTCTCCTGACACTGGAGATATGGCAGTGAATGGCATCTCCACATAACTATCTTCAACAAATTGTTTGAATACAGGGGTCCTCTAATTATCTACCTTTTCACCTCTCAAACCAACCCACAACTCCCAAGATTCTTCTGCTGGCAACCAGATTCCCTCCGTTTTCCATATTGGCGAGGGTGAAACATCAGTTATGAACCCAGAGGATCTCCCTGCTTCTACTGACACCACTGTGGCAGAGTCAGGCATGGTTCCCGGACCTGCTTGAACTATCTTGGGATCATCCTCTCCTCTTGCCATTCTATCCCCTTCTATTGACTGGAGAACCTCACCCCCTCATCCTGAAAGAACGAATTGAATTAGTGGCTTGGTTAACAGATGCTTTATCGCAGGTCACTAAGGATCTGCTATGAAATTCATGGGCACCCAGCACCAGACGATGTTACTTTGCAGCCTGAAACAAATGGTCTAGCTGGTGTTTGGAGATAAACTCCGATCCCTTTACGACACCTTTTCCCATGAATTTCCTATTTCATTTATTCTCTTCAGGACGTTCGTATCGCTCCATTAATGGCACACATTCTGGTCTGAGTCCTTCCAGTGGGTCAGAATCCTGAGAGATATTCACTTATCACATCCTCTGGCTCAGAAATATTCAAGGTTCTGGGACATTGATGTGGTACTACGATTTTTACGGGATTGGCCAGACAACGCTTCGCTGTCCTTATGCCAACTTTCAGCGAAACTTACGGTGTTACTACACCTCATCAGGCTTTTGATGTTGACGTTTTGACCTTTACTCCGGACGGAGTGTTTTTTTCGGTTTTGAGACACACTAAGACGAATTATGCAACGTTTTTTTAATCTGTTTTTTTCCTACAGAACTTTGCATGGTCAAGACATTACTTCACTACATGGAGATTACTGCCTCTTTACGCGGCTTTTCTACGGGTCAGCTCATTGTGTCATATACGAGACCACACAAACTGGTCTATATGACTACTCTCGCAAGATGCGTACTTTGCCTTCTGACTTTAGCAGGTGTCGAATCTTGTTTCGTTCTCTGTATGGGGTGCAGCGGCGATATCATGCGTTTCAGCGAACAGATCTCAGGAGACAACATTTCCAGTTTTTTAGTTCCACCCTTGTTCTCTCATTTCTTTCTCTCTAATTGAATAGTGTTGAAATGCAAAATATGAAGCCTCCTGTCATGTGGTAAAATTGTAGATTATGCTAACATAGTGTATTTATAATCTTAATTTTAAGGCGAGTATTTTCCCTTCCCATATCTCCCTACACTCTCATATTTTGTCATAATCTTTCTGTATGTTTTTCTATTTCTACTAATAATTTCAAATAGAAGTTTTATAGTTTGGACAGTGCTTTATATAAATTCATGATTACATATTAAGGTCAGGATTTGATAGATGGTTTGTAATTTTCTCCATGTTTTCTTAAAGGACCACTATAGTGCCAGGAAAACATACTCATTTTCCTGGTACTATAGTGCCCTGAGGGTGCCCCCACCCTCAGGGTCCCCCTCCCGCCCGGCTCTGGAAGGGGGAAAGAGGTTAAAACTTACCTTTTTCCAGTGCTGGGCGGGGAGCTCTCCTCCTCCGTTCCTCCCCATCGGCTGAATGCACACGTGCGGCAAGAGCTGCGCGCATTCAGCCGGTCCCATAGGAAAGCATTCACAATGATTTCCTATGGACGCTGGCGTGCTCTCACTGTGAAAATCACAGTGAGAAGCACGCAAGCGCCTCTAGCGGCTGTCAATGAGACAGCCACTAGAGGATTAGGGGGAAGGCTTAACCCATTCATAAACATAGCAGTTTCTCTGAAACTGCTATGTTTATAAAAGAATGGGTTAATCCTGGCTGGACCTGGCACCCAGACCACTTCATTAAGCTGAAGTGGTCTGGGTGCCTAAAGTGGTCCTTTAATGAACTGCTAATAGTTTAATATAGCTAGTTTGATATGGCTAATACACAACTGTGTTTATGTTGCAAGTTCAAGTACCTTTCGCTTGTTTCTTCTTATTTTTAAGTATGAAATCCGTCACATGTTTTCCTACAAATGCTACTTCCTTACAAGCTACATACTCTCCTCCAAAGTTACGGGATCGTTTATCAAGTGCTACAGTTTTCTCTGTTTCTGTTTAATGGACTATTTACATTCACATCAAAGAAAGAGGAAGAGTAGGGGGCATTACTGTCGTATATATTGTATTGACTCTTGTTTTTTATTGGTTACGTTTTTTCAGACTGATCTGTGCTGCTGGAGATTCATAGTAAAGAAAGTTATGCAAAGTTATACTCGCCTCCTGTCATTACTAATATTAAGATTATAAGTGCACTACATTAGCGCAATCTACAATCATTCATGGAATGCAAAACAAAATGTAAAAATCATACTTTTTTTCCCTACTGATCACCAGTAGTGTTCACTTGATTTAACAAACTAAATTCTTTGCTAGTCCTGTGGTGTGCCCCTCTTCATTTCATAAGAGTATTACATACATTTCCTGTAACAGAGCTCCAAGCCCAGCATATAACGAGAAAGAAAATAAGTGATAATTGGCTCTCGTGCAGCCTTTCAGCCTTTCATTCCGAGTGGAAAAATATGTGTCCGTGCAAGCAAACTGTACTTCTCATCTGCCCCAATTCTGGTGGGACAATCTAAATTTTCAGATCCAGTTCTGCCATCCCGACTTGGAGGAACCACAGAACTAACCCTTAACAAGCATAGTGCAAGCTCAGTGCTACCTGCAGGGTCCACTCTTAGTCGGCGTGCCTCAATGATAGCAGCCAGGCTGACCTGTTAATCCTTTTGGGAGAACTTGACCCCTTACTGTGTGATTGCATTACTGTTACAATCCCTCCTCCCCGCGATCGATGTCCTGATTCACACCAGAGTTGGAAGACAGACATTAAAGTTCTTGTTTTAAAGACAGACATTAAAGACTCATTTGTTAATTGCCCTGGGGAATTTTTGAGTGCAATCATAATATAAGCAATAATCAACTACACATAAAACCTAGGCACTTACCTAAAATAGGGGGAGTGTCAGAATTAGGAAGCATATCATTCAAAATCAGCAGTAGCACAGAGAATCCCAAGACCACAGTAATTTTGAAAGCTAGTCTGTCTTCATATGACTGGATGAACATACTACATATATCCACGAAAAGCATGAGAACAGCTGGGATGATGAGGTTAATAACATAATTTAGAGGAGTTCTCTTTATTTTTATCTGGGGGGAGAAAAAGGTTCCAAAATGATTCTGTTCATTAAAAATCCATGTTAACATTAAGGTTAAACAATCAGTATCTGCTGAAAGTGTAAATAGCTTTATATTCATCAAAGCCAAAATCCTTATTAAAAGCCAGTAGCAAAAACAAAGAATAGAGCATATCTGGTAAGATGCTCCTCACATCAAAAAAGGCCGGTGTTTTACAGAAAAATTATTTACTGCAAATATACACTTTATGTGTCCAATGGAAAAAATAAGTGAAAATTTATTATAAAAAAAAAATCATTTAAAACATTGACTTTGGTAAAACATTAAAGGAAATTACAACAGTGCGTTGTAGTGGTTATGGTGGCGCAAATATCTTCCCAAGATAAGTAGTCAAAGTGCTTACAAATGGTTTGACAGCTTTCCTGGGGACCCACTGCCACTGGGCACAGCCTCCAGGACAGCAAGAAAGGAAAGGCGGGGTTTTAGTTTTTAGTTACCTCTTTTGGTCAACTTTATTTTGGTTTTTTAAATACTGTGATTGCACAGCACGGGCCAGGGCCGTATTACATGGCCTGTATTGATGGGCCCGGATGAAGGCGCAACCCCTGCAACCACGGTAGGTCCGTCATTGCGTACATATATGCCATTTTTTTGAATCCAAAATTTTCCATATCTTACTTGTCACCATCACTACCGCTGTTATTCTAAAATCCATATCCAAATTAATCCATCAATTTATTTTTCATTGCTATACATGTGTCTGAACAAATCTTATCAATTTACTCTTTTGTGATCCAAGAGGTCCAGTGACCATAAACCAGTCATAGACTGCAGTTTTGCACTTTCAGATCTCAACTGAATAGCTCCATTTCTGGTCTGGAAGTTGAAGTCTCTCTAAGAGTATATAACTAGGAACCAGAAACATTGTGGAGAGACCAAACATAATAAATACAGTACAATTAGAGAAATTACTAGTATGCATCACCTGCATATCTCAAGTTGAAAAGTACTTCTTGGGCATAGAAACTTGAGAAATTATATTTCCACAACTTCCACAACATACTGCAACTATCTTCCTGGCAACTATACATATCAAAGGTTCATGAAGTTTAATAAAAAGTATTATGTAGTTTGCTTTTTTATGGTATGTATGTATAGTTCCTCCTCATCTCTGTCTTTTCATGGTTTTTCTACTATGACTTCATGATATTTCTTCAATTGCATACATCATAGAACGTAATAAAACACATAGAAATTTGAGTACAAACTAACGTAATTTTATCACTTACTTCATATTTCACTACATCAAATCTTTCTCCATCGTCATACTCTACTGTCTTGTCATGTACAGTGATGCTTATCAGGTCCCAGTCTCCTTTACTGGAAAATGATTGTTTAGATTCATTGGTCACTGTAGTGGAATTACTAGATGGTGCCATAAGGATATCGTTAACTGCACAAGAAGAGAACCTATGTAAACCTCAAATATGAGTTGTAAAATTAATTCAAAATATGTTAACAAAAAAAGTTATTCTACAAAAAAAAAAAAATTACCAAAAAAGAAAATAAGGATATATAATGTGAATTTTCAACAATGCAAAATATGTGTAATGAGACGTGATTATACAGATAAATTGTAGGCCCATAGAAACACTGGGCCGTTTAAACATGGATTAAGCTATCAGGGCACTAACTGTGCACGGCTTGCAAAAATATAGAACACAGGTGTTATGGAGAGAACAAGTTACATATTAAGTAAAATGCATTGATCAGCCACTAAATTAAAACCACCCGTCAATTTCCCCTCATGCTGCCAAAACAGCTCTGATGCGTGGAGGCATGGACTCTGTGTGATCAGACCAGATGGGCTAGCCTTCAATCCTCACATGCATCAGTGAGGCCTTGGGTGCCATGACCCTGACACCAATTCAGCAGTTGTCCTTCCTTAAACCACTTTTGGTAAGTACTAAACACTGCGGTTGTCCTGTGGTTTACTCAACCTTGTTTGCAAATAATGTCCTCAATGTTCCATTATTCCTCATATCTACTAACATTTGTTATTTGAGAAGGGCCACTCAATAGCCTTACTCTTGTATTTGTAGGAAGGCTGAAGAAGTGTTTACTGTTAAATTGGTGGTTGTCAAGGGAGGTCTCTCAGAAGAAAGCAAAAAGATTTACACTAGAAGTCAGCATTTATTGTGCAGTCTCAAAGCCATCTCAAATCCCGTGCACTACCAAAATATTTAAATCTCTTTTTGCCTTACACCAAAGCAAAGAAATGCTGATAATTGAGGCTTTAACTGAAAATGGATCTGTAAAGGATTAATTTTCCCATTGTCTTCCTAGTTAAAATATCTTGGAAAAAGAGCATTTAAAAAAAATATATATAATTATCATCGCCGCCACCCCCTGTCAGGTCCGGGTGGAGCACGGGGGTGGTGCGGGGGGCCGACCCCTCAGGGGTGTGCTGGGGGGCTATGATACCTGACGGGGTGCGGCCCAAAACGGCCTACGGCTCCGCGGGTACGGGGGGTGGAAGAGCGCCAGTTCCGTGAGCTACAAATTTTATTAGTTTAGAAGGAAACGCAGGATGCCCCTTAGGTTATTCCCATCAACACCATGTATAACGCTGGGAAGAGCCGAATTGTACCAAAGTAGGGGGTCAACACCCCACTATACCACCATTCTGGACCCTAGACACGAGGTTGCAAGGAGGCTGCGTGTCCTGATGGGACCCTACACAGTAGGTGTCCCACATGTCCCACTACTGCATGGTGGCTACAGGGTGGGCATGGTGAAATAGACGAAAAATGGCGGGACATACAAAACTACCCAACGTAGGAAAGGTACACGTCAGATATAACTAGTACTATTCGTAACTATGTACTACCGGACCCGCAAGGCCACAATGCACACCACTTACTCAAGAAAGCGACCTGCGAGTCGCCAAGACACGTCTGACAGACTATGCCCTACGGTGTATAAGCATGTACAAATGACCAAAGGGACCTGCGTGTCCATGTTTTTCTGTTCCATGTTGATAACAAACGAAAAGAAAAAAAATAACGAAATGTTCAATAAAAACATATTTACAAAAAAAAAATAATTATCATCGCAAGAATTCCACTTTGTGTTAGTCTATCTTTATTTCATGTTGTATATTATAAAGCAATCATTAATCCCGATCTGGTGACTAGCTATTTAACTAGAATCTATGACTTTAGATTAAATGCAATCATTATAAACAATGTTTTCCATTTTCCTAGTTAAGAAACATACCTGAATACACAAAGGAACCGAGGGTTAGATCACAAGTCTGTGTGTCAAAGGGGAACTTGAAAATATTTACGGTACAGGTACTAACAATCCGTAATGGTTTAAACTGTGTCAGGTCTCCGTAATTATAGACAATGTAATAAGGAATCACAATCGGCTTGTCATCTGTTTCACTAGATTCAATCCTGTGTATAAAATGATGTTAAATCACTGAAAGTTCACTTTCATACATCCAATAAGTTATGAAAAACACATTTTCTCAAAGATCATGGAACCCTTTCTTACCATACTCCAGTACATTTACAAAGGCAGCGTTCTATAAATCTCAGCGATTTACAATCTATATACTTTAAAAAGCCCCTGAAATCATAAAGGAACCCTCCAATACCATAAGCACTTTAGTCCACAGTAGTGGTTATGGTGCAAAAAGTGTTTTGATGCCCTCCCAGTGTTAGAAGTCAAAACAGTTGCAAGCAGTTTTCCTGGCTCTGCTGGTCATTGGTCACCTCCTCCTCAAACTAGCTCCCTAGTTTCAATCTTCAATTTTATTGTTGTCTTTTTTTTCATAATTTAGTTGTTATAGATTTAAACCCTGGATGCTAGATTGAAATACTTGCATTTTTGGATTGTATTCGCAAGAATGGGTTCTCTAATCCATACTTTATTTTTTATTTTTGGCGGCAAATTTCCATTTAGTTTTAGTCATAGTCTTTTGACTAAAATACCATTTTACTTTTAGTCGTATCTTATTCATCTGAATTGTTTTAGTTTTATTCTAGTTTTAGTCAACTAAATCTCAAAAATGTTAGCCGACTAAAATTCTGCTTAGGTAAAATATTGTATAGTATGTATGCTATTCAGTTTGTTTTCTGTAAGAGCAGGTTTATCCTACATATGAACTAATATCAAACTTACAGTTCATAAATGTAGAGGTCTGGTTTCCAAAAGGTTGAATCAGGAACAATCACATAGTCAATGCCACAAAAATCACTTGCATTCCAGGATATAAAATCATTTCTCCATGTCTAAAAAATGTACAGTAAATTTGCTTAGAAGACACAAAATGACAATTTTTGCTATAATAAGCAGGAAAGGCACAACCTATTATCATATCCATCTGTAATGACTAGAGCAATTTAATTGAATTCATTTACTTTGAAAATTGGATATCAAAACAAGGGGTCCACATAAAAGTGATATAATGAGTTAAAACTATACTTTTAACCCCTTAAAGACTGAGCCAAATGTACACGTTGTGATCAAAACAAAACGTAAACAAAACTTGAATTTGCACTATATGTCTGTTCAGGCGTAATTCACCTCTTTCATATTATGTGCACCCACACTTATTATATATCATTTTATTCAGGGAAACAGGGCTTTCATTTAACATCAAATATTTAGGTATAAAACATAATTTAATATGAATAAAATATAAAAAAATAAGAGAAAATAAGACATTTTAAAAGATGTTTAGTTCTATGTGACATTCTAACTGTGAATGTCATAATACGGGGACTCCCTGGGCTCCCAGGTAAGTCCCCATACTGCGATCACCTGCGACTGGGTAAGTAGAAAGGACGGTTCGGGTGTTCTATGCCGCCCTCTGGCGTTTAGAGCCAGTTCGTTAAGGACAGCATAGAACGCCTGCCGTCCTTAAGGGGTTAATTGTCACATCATCCAAATATCGTCTTTCTTTCAACAAACAATCTATATTAATTCATATGTGTAATAATATATCATTTCTGTTTGTGCACACTTGTAAAATTCACAAAAATTGCATTAAGCAAACTTTATTTTAACACAGAATATAACACACACAAAAAACGTTGGACATATTAATATTGTATTAAAGTAAAACATGTATAGCCTCCATATAGACCATGTACTAGAATGTTATTACTTTACCCACTGCTGTGACATGCTAAAAGAGTTAAACTGGCTGTCGCTGGAATCCCAACACACTCTTCATCTTTCCATCCTTGTGCATAAGAGCATTTCTGTGAATCTCCCAGCCTACCTGAGTAGAATGCTCTCCCCAGCTGTTCCCACCTCCTATAACCTCCGATCCAGTACTAGCATGATATTTAGCATACCGCAATACAAAAATAAAGTAGCTCGATCCTCCTTTTCCTACAGAGAACCGCAATTATGGAAAAACCTCAGGGACACAGTCAAATCTTCATTCAATCTAAAATCGTTTAAGAGATATATGGCAATATGCCTCAGCGCAGAATGCACCTGTCATGGTCAAATATACTTATTACCTGCTATGTATTACATTTATATATATGTGTGTGAATATACATAATTACCGTATTTATTCGAGTATAACGCGCAAAATTTTCTACCAAAAAAAGAAATCAAAGTTTGGGTGCGCGTTATAAACGAGGGCTGGGGTGCGGTGGCAGTGGCGGCCGGTCCATTGAGGGCGCAGGCGAATTGTGAGTTCACAGGTCTCTGTGCAGCAGTTCCTCTGCTAGAATAATATTAGTATCTTATATTAGAGATGGCAGTTAAGCGACAGAAAATCTATTGAAACATCAAGGTAGTGAGATCCCCAGGCAGAACAGCTGCACGTGCCCACTCCCTTCCCCAGATTGGCATTCTTGGCACAGGCAGTGGATGGCAGGGCTCTAACAGGTGATTTCCAGCTGTTTGGGAGGAGGAGACCGTGGAGTGTGTGAATTGTGTCTGAGGTTTCTTAGATAGAATGGGAACAACTCTTTAGTGTATCTGATGATGAATCTGTCTTTGAAGCATTTTAAATAAATATTGTTACCGGTAATTTTATTTCGGTATTGTGTTTATACCAGTTTATGTTGTCAATAAATGATTTTTGTCATGGCCGCACGTGTTCAACAACGTTTTTTTGTTAATTACAATGCTTGGTGTGAAACAAAATTTTATACCGATTTTTAATCGAAAATTAGAGGTGCGCGTTATACACGTGTGCGCGTTATACTCGAATAAATACGGTACATAAATAAAATATACAAACTATATAAATATATATAGTTTGTATATTGTATTGATGTAATGATGTATCCTATTGTGGACAAAGACCCAGGACATACTTGAAAACTAGAGAAATCGCAATGTACCCAACCTAAAAAATATTTTATAAATAAATAAATAAATAAATATAACAGCCCCAGAAATGTTTCTATGTGGCAAAAAGGTCACGGACTTCAACTCCAGGGTAAATTTTATTTGCAACTCAAAAGACTTGCTATGATGGTTATGGTGACCGTGTCAGGAGTGCCCTGATGTAGCATTGCTGGACTTTGCTCAAGTAGCGCTCTCCTGCCACTTCCATTAGCTCAGGGAAGCTAGTTCTAAACCTCCATGGCTGTTTGATTGACAGCCAGGGGGTTTTACATAGTCAATTTATAAAAGTGCCAATTTCTGGTAGAAATCAGCACTTTTATAAACTGGAGTTAAACTAGGATGCTCCTTAGCCATAATGCACTTCAGTTTTTGAAGTGTGGAGTGGTCTTTTAAGTTCATGCTGCTTTCACAGCTGCACTGTATCCTTGCCTACTTTATATACATGTGTTTCTAATGCATTTTTAACAAGAAGAGAAGGCAGAGGTCCATATGCCTTCTCTTCTTGTTAAAAATGCATTAGAAACACATGTATATAAAGTAGGCAAGGATTAGCATGAGCATTTTGGTTTTAACCAGTAAAATAGCAGCCAGGACCTCCAGGCACCATAACAGCTTCATTTCTTGCGATTTTCATAGGTGGGGTGAAGTAAAAATCCAGAGGTATTTTAGAACTATCTTACAACATCACCAGCCACCACTGTCCATGATGCTGAACCAGCAAGGCTAACTAAGCATCAAGGAAGGAGTAAATGTTTATTGAGTTAAATTTCATAATCAGGATTCGGACAAACCAAAATGGATCCCTGTGAAATGATCAAAGGACAAAGGACAAAATAAAAATGTGTAAACACATTTTCAGACAACGTTCAGGGCTATTTATTTAAAGGGACACTATAGGAGCCCGACCACCTCATCTCATTGAAGTCGTCTGGGAGGAGTACTCCTGTCTCATTAACCGTGCAATTACTGCAGTTATTGAGAAACTGCAATAATAACCTTGCAGGGCTAACACCACCTCTAATGGTAGGCCTGTAGATCAAAGCGGTCCCACCTGTGAAGGTGTACAGAGAAAAGGTTATATCTGTAAAAGGGCGCGTGGAGGGAGGGGCATGTAAATCGCTGACCACGTAACGGTACTGGAGAAGGAAGGGAAGTCCTTTAAAAAGGGGCTACAAGCCCCTCCCAAGTCTACGACTTCACATAGAGTATATTTAATTGACATACGTCTTCCGTCAATGTTGCAATATTCCACTATTCTTTCCAAGTGCCAAACTGATACTTAAATGCCTGAAAGTTAGCTACTACTTTGTTGTGTGTCAGAGTGTATGTACATGCACATTCTTTGTCCTTCTGCTCTCATATTAACCAAATTACTACCTAACTTTCAAGTACATTGTTCTTTACTGGTTTCTCTTGTTATCCCTATAATTCTAGTGAATCACTGAGAATGTTTTACAACATGTTTTGTTGACACGCTAACAGAATGCATCCTGTCTTACAACATGTTTTGTTCGCACTAATTAGACTAAGAAACACCAATGTGATATACATTCATCAATATTTTAGGCAGTCACTGAGATTGCTTGCAGAATGCAATAACTCAACTCAAATAACACTAAATCTAACGATACATACAAAAAAAGGTGCACTGTAACTTTAAGTCACTATATAGTGTATATACACGCCAAAAACACTCAAAAGGTGATATATAGCAACAGTGAAAAAAAATAACAATGTACTTTAAGTACACAAAACTTCTTAAAGTGCATGATAAACAAATTGTACAAATATACCAAAGTGCAATAACAATTAAAGTGCAAATAGTACAATAAGTGGTAATTGTTGCACTCACAAAAGGAGAGCAGGTAAGTCTGCTCAGGCTGTACAGGCACTTCTCCACCACCTTGCAGCATACAGTTATCACTTGTAGGGTGGACCAGTCATACCAAAGACTTCATCAGCCAGAGACTATCAATCTTCCACAACGTTATTGATCCAAACAGATAAAACTCTTATATTATGATAAAAAGTCCCCAAATAGCAATGTTGCATTTCAGCCCAACAAGCCGGCTAACACAGGGCTTATTTAGTGCAAGGACGCTCTGAAAACAGTTCTGGGGGGCAGGGGCAGTGACTGTTACGACACGTACCGTCGGGTAGATGAAGCCGCCGTTTAGGCAATAATCCCCTTCTCTAGAAATGCAGTTTAAATCCAGCCGATCGCCAAACTCCCGAACGAAGTCCACGAACACGGCAACTCCCGATCAGCCAAACAGTCGAACGCCTTCCACAGCTAGAAATAACGAAAGCGCTGTCCCAGTAATAATTCCCCCACAAACGAGACCAAGCTCCGTCTTGAGGGTCAAATGAAGATCTGTTTAATGGGGGCTACCTGCCCGGTATTTATGCAGGTCTCCACAAGGTGGACACTCCCCGAGGGGACCTTGTGGAAGACTGTACAATATATTAGACAGTAGCCAATCGCAGTGGCTTCAATAATAGCCCTTCCCATTTTACCCATAAATCCATCTTCTCTACCCCAGAGATAATTAGGAAGAAACCTAATTATCTCCCAGGGTAGAGACAATCGCCATTTTACATTACAGTAGTAAAAATACATTAAAATACATAACTGAAGAAATACCGAATGAATATTGTTCGTGTAACGTATCCCCAGACAGCCTGGATCTGAGTGCATGTTTTCACCGAATAGCGCTCAGATCCGATGTATCTAGTCGAATCGCCATGGAGTCAAAGTCTTTCACCAGTCCTTCGGTATACGAATGACTCCATGGGATGGCTGTCGGGGTAAAAGTCCATACGAATGAATAAAACTCCCGAACGACCGACGTTCGCATGCCTTGTCGAAAAGGAAGTTAGGCAGCAGCTTTTCAGCGGTGTTCGGTAGTTTAAGTGTCCGTTTTTAGTTCCATACAGTTTGTACCGAACACCGCTCTGTGTTTGTATGTCCCAAAATGGCCGCTGCCTCGTGGTCGACATGCGAACGACGACCACCCGTACGAATGGAATGGAGAGGTGTCTGCGGTTAACCACAACGTTCTAATTGGGGCCAAGAGGTTAACCAGCAGCACACTCCTCTCCTGGGTGGTCGTTCGTTCGGTAGTTTCAATCGGCATTTTGCAAATACACGAACGGGGGTATAGGAACAGGCAATTCCGCGAACAAAGGGAAACAGACGAACCAACAATGCAGATGAATCTGTCACACGGCTCCCCCCTTGTGGGACACTCCGGCAGACCCGGCTTGACCCTTTAGCGGGTCAACGTGGGGATGACCGGACTAAGATGGGGTGAGGATGTCGGTTTGCCTGGACAATCCATCTGCGTTCCCATTCTGCTTACCGGGTCGATAAGTGATGGTGAAGTTATATGGCTGTAGTGCTAAACTCCACCTCAGCAGTCTGCCATTGTCTCCAGAGACCCGGTTAAGCCAGACAAGGGGATTGTGGTCCGTCACAAGGGAAAATTCCTGTCCATATAAATACGGGCTTAGCTTCTTCAATGCCCACACCAGAGCCAAACATTCCTTCTCCACTGCCGCATAACTCACTTCCCTGGGTAACAGCTTCCTGCTGAGATATGCGACAGGGTGCTCTCCTCCATCTTCCCCGACCTGGCTCAGCACAGCCCCCAGTCCATACATGGAAGCATCTGTATGGACGAGAAAACGTTTGTTAGGGACTGGGGCAGCCAGGACAGGGGCATTCACAAGAGCTTGTTTGAGTGCTTGGAACGCAGCTTCACAAGCCGGAGACCACAGGACCTGCTTAGGAAGATTTTTCTTGGTCAAGTCAGTCAGGGGTTTAGCAATAGAGCTGTAATCGGGGACGAAGCGTCTATAGTACCCTGCTGTCCCTAGGAAGGCTAACACCTGGGTCTTGGTGATAGGTGTGGGCCAGTTGGCAACTGCCTCTATCTTGGCTGGCTCTGGCCTCTGGCTCCCACACCCTACTCTGTGACCCAGGTACTGCACTTCAGCCATGCCTAAATGGCACTTCTCTGGCTTCAATGTCAGGCCAGCGGCCCGAATCTTGTCCAGCACCACCCCTACATGTACTAGGTGTTCTTCCCAGGACTCACTGTAGATCGCAATGTCATCCAGGTATGCACAAGCAAATTCCTGGAATCCATCAAGAAGTCTATCCACCATGCGCTGGAAGGTAGCCGGGGCATTCTTCATCCCAAATGGCATGACCTTAAATTGGTACAGGCCAAATGGGGTGACGAAGGCCGACTTGGGGATAGCATCCTCGGCCAGGGGAATCTGCCAGTAGCCTTTGCACAGGTCTATGGTGGTCAGATAGCGTCCCCTGGCAATGCGATCTAGCAATTCGTCTACCCGGGGCATCGGGTAGGCGTCAGTGGTGGTCCGCTCATTGAGACACCTGTAGTCCACACAGAACCGGGTGGTCCCATCCTTCTTGGGCACCAGGACTACAGGCGAGGCCCAAGGGCTATCGGAGTGTTCGATGACCCCCAGCTGGGTCATCTCCTGTATCTCCTTCCGCATTCCTTCCCGGACTGCTTCAGGGATACAGTAAGGGGGTTGTCGCAGAGGGTTCTGTCCAGGGGTTTCTACCTTGTGTACAGCTAGGGTAGTGTAACCAGGTTCTTGGGAGAAGGTCGCCTGCTTTTCCCACAGAAGCTGTCTTGCCTGGCCCTTCTCGGTAGCGCTCAATCTGTCCCCTAGCTGTACTAGGCTAGTAAGATCCGTCTGGGGGTCCCTCTCTAACAGGTCTGGCAAGGGTAAACTTTCGGTATCATCTGCAGCAGGGGCACATACTGCAGCGACATTCTCTGGTCTCTCCTGATACTCCTTTAGCATGTTCACATGGAAGGATCGCTGGATCCTTTCATCTGAACAGCTGGCTATAAGGTAGGTAGTATCACATATCTGTGCTAACACCTTATACGGGCCCTGCCAAGATGCCTGCATCTTGTTCGCCTTCACAGGTTTGAGCACTAGTACTTTCTGCCCAACCTGGAAAACTCGCTGTCGGGCACCCCGATCGTACCACCTCTTCTGTCTCCCCTGAGCCACCTGGAGATTCTCCCTTACCATTAGGGACAGTTTCTCCATGCGGTCCCGGAGTTCCAGAACATATGGTACTATGGGGGTCCCTTCCTGCTCTGTCTCCCCCTCCCAGTGGCCTCTAATGAGATCTAGGGGTCCGCGGACCCTTCTCCCATATAGCAACTCAAAGGGGGAGAACCCAGTAGATTCCTGGGGCACCTCTCTGTAGGCAAACAACAGATGAGGCAGGAATCGCTCCCAGTCTCTGCAAGTGTCAGAAAAGGTCCTCAGCATCTGTTTGAGGGTGCCATTAAATCGCTCGCAGAGACCGTTAGTCTGTGGATGGTAAGGTGAGCTAAGCAGCGGTTTAATACCGCACACCTTCCACAGTTGCTGGGTGAGCACAGCGGTGAATTGGGTTCCCTGGTCAGAGAGAATCTCTTGAGGGAACCCGACTCTGGTGAAAATCCTAACCAGGGCATCAGCAACTGTCTCTGCCTCTATATTAGACAGCGCTACTGCCTCCGGATAGCGAGTGGCATAATCCACCACGGTGAGAATATATTTCTTACCGGATGGACTAGCCCTGGCCAGTGGACCCACAATGTCAACGGCTATGCGGGCAAAGGGCTCCCCAATGATAGGCATAGACATAAGCCTAGCTCTTGGGTGGTCCCCCCGCTTTCCTATCCGTTGACATGTGTCACACGTACTGCAGTATGTCCGAACAGCCTGATTAAAGTTTGGCCAAAAAAAGTTCTGCATGATCCTATAGGCTGTGCGGCGGGAACCTAGATGTCCAGCTAACGGAACATCATGCCCTATCCGCAGAATCTCCTGCCGGTATTTTGCGGGCACCACCAGCTGTCGATTCGGCGGAGGGGCAACACTCTTCGGGGAAAGCTTGGGGATCCTATACAACCTGTCCCCCACCCACTCATACCGTTCCCCATCTAATCCTTCCTCTCCAGTATCTGCTCTGTCCCTATACTTCTGGAGGGTCGAATCTGTCTGAGTTTCCCTCCCAAACTCCTCTGGGGAATCCCAGTTAACAAAAGTCGGTTCTAGGGTACCAGTCGGGGACTCGGTCCTTACCTGGGTCTCAGCAGCAGGTGGGCTGGTTCCAGCAGCGCGGGTCTGGGCACGGGTAGTCACTGGAGCATAAGCGGACACCAAAGGGGCCAAGTCATTCCCGAGCAAAACATCGGCCGATAAGTCTTTCATGACCCCCACATTCACGTGTCCAGAGCCCACCCCCCAATCCAAGTGAACACGGGCAACCGGTAAACGGAACACTGCACCTCCCGCCACCCTCACTGCCACAGTATCTCCAGTGTGCTGGTGTTCGGAGACAAGGTTCTTTTGGAGCAAGGTCATAGTGGCTCCGGTGTCTCTCAGACCAGTTACCGCTTTGCCATTTAGTTTAACGGTCTGCCTGTGCTGTTGACGGTTATCCTGCTGCGCTGCTTGTACTGGATCCGCCTCATGTAGTATACCCCAAAATTCCTCCTGCTCAAGACAGTGAGCGGAAGGTTGAGGTGGTTGCTGATTTCCGCCGGCTGGTCTTCTCCACGACTGGGCTTGGCTAGAACTGTTTAATGGGCACTCGGGTCGCTTGTGCCCCAACTGCTTACACCCGTAGCAACGGATCGGCTGTGAGTAATCCCGGGCGTTGAACCGGGCTGGCTGAACGTAATTGTTCGCTGTTGGCATGGTGGGGGTGCGTTGTGCTGGGTGTTGATACACTGCAGAGGTTGGAGGTGCTGCTGGTTTGTACTCCACTCGGGTAGGGACCTTGGCTGCTGTCTGGTCCAGTTTCCTGGCGTCAGTGTACTCATCAGCCAGACGAGCAGCTTCGGGTAAGGTAGCGGGTTTGCGGTCCCTAACCCACTCTCTGACTCCTACAGGTAAGCGGTCAAAACAGTGCTCCAACAAAAATACTTCCAGCACTTCTTCCCCAGTTACCGCTTGGCACCCTGCCATCCAGTGGGCTGCTGTGCGGTGTACCCGGCATGCCCACTCAACATAAGAATCACCAGCCTGCTTGTTAGTGTCCCGGAATCGTCGCCGGTATGCCTCAGGGGTCACAGCGTATCTGGCCAAAAGGGCATCTTTCACTGCCCTGTAGCTGGTAAGTTCCTCCTCTGGGATGGCCCGAAACGCCTCACTGGCCCGGCCGGATAACTTCCCAGAGAGGATGGGGACCCATTCTCCTGCGGGTACCTGGTGTAAGGCACATTGCCTTTCAAAATCAGCCAGGAACCCATCAATTTCTCCTTCGGCTTCCACAAAATTTCGAAATGCAGCAAAAGGTACTTTTCTCCTTCCATTATTATTATACGGTACCTCAGCTGCTGCAGCGCCTCTTCCTTGAAGCGCCTGTTGTGCTGCTACTGCTGCTTGCACTTGCACCACAATATCTGCTGCGGGGTTGGGGCCAAAATGTGCCAGCCTGATCTGAACTGCCCGGTTAAACTGTATCTCTTCAGGTGTTAACTCCAGTATGCCAGGCACATCCGCTCCCCCCGTTCCCTGTGCTGCATCCATTTCCAATAATATCGAAATAATCTCTCTTTTCTTGAGATTACTCGCTGATCGTCCTCTGCGCTCCAATATATCTTTAAGGGTAGCACGCCTTAAATCCTCATACTGCATTTCCAACCTGGGATGTGTAGCTGGCCTTCTGAGCTGTAGGATTCATCCCGTCGCTTGCCACCAATTGTTATGACACGTACCGTCGGGTAGATGAAGCCGCCGTTTAGGCAATAATCCCCTTCTCTAGAAATGCAGTTTAAATCCAGCCGATCGCCAAACTCCCGAACGAAGTCCACGAACACGGCAACTCCCGATCAGCCAAACAGTCGAACGCCTTCCACAGCTAGAAATAACGAAAGCGCTGTCCCAGTAATAATTCCCCCACAAACGAGACCAAGCTCCGTCTTGAGGGTCAAATGAAGTTCTGTTTAATGGGGGCTACCTGCCCGGTATTTATGCAGGTCTCCACAAGGTGGACACTCCCCGAGGGGACCTTGTGGAAGACTGTACAATATATTAGACAGTAGCCAATCGCAGTGGCTTCAATAATAGCCCTTCCCATTTTACCCATAAATCCATCTTCTCTACCCCAGAGATAATTAGGAAGAAACCTAATTATCTCCCAAGGTAGAGACAATCGCCATTTTACATTACAGTAGTAAAAATACATTAAAATACATAACTGAAGAAATACCGAATGAATATTGTTCGTGTAACGTATCCCCAGACAGCCTGGATCTGAGTGCATGTTTTCACCGAATAGCGCTCAGATCCGATGTATCTAGTCGAATCGCCATGGAGTCAAAGTCTTTCACCAGTCCTTCGGTATACGAATGACTCCATGGGATGGCTGTCGGGGTAAAAGTCCATACGACTGAATAAAACTCCCGAGCGACCGACGTTCGCATGCCTTGTCGAAAAGGAAGGTAGGCAGCAGCTTTTCAGCGGTGTTCGGTAGTTTAAGTGTCCGTTTTTAGTTCCATACAGTGTGTACCGAACACCGCTCTGTGTTCGTATGTCCCAAAATGGCCGCTGCCTCGTGGTCGACATGCGAACGACGACCACCCGTACGAATGGAATGGAGAGGTGTGTGCGGTTAACCACAACGTTCTAATTGGGGCCAAGAGGTTAACCAGCAGCACACTCCTCTCCTGGGTGGTCGTTCGTTCGGTAGTTTCAATCGGCATTTCGCAAATTATACGAACGGGGGTATAGGAACAGGCAATTCCGCGAACAAAGGGGAAACAGACGAACCAACAATGCAGATGAATCTGTCACAGTGACGTCCAACGTTCCGTGACGTGATGACATCAGACGTGATGACGCGTTTAGCCAAACGTATCGGCTCCTTCAGAACTGAAGATCATTTTAAATGCATTTTCACTGTTGCCATATATCCCCTTTGAGTGTTTTTGGTGTATATACACTCACTGTATAGTGACTTAAAGTTACAGTGCACCTTTTTTGTATGTAATGTATCTAAACAGAACAAAATTCTAAACGCAACAGTTTTATTTTTGCCCCCATTTTTTATGAGCTGAACTCAAAGCTCTAAGACTTTTTCTATGTACACGCAAGTTCAGCTCAAAACTGGGTTGCGTTTAAAATTTGGTTAAGTATATATATGACTCTGTGCTTTCTATACTAAGAAGCTGAGAAATCAATATTAAGAATAGCCCTTTTCTTAATTTAGGTCTTTCAGCTGTTACTTTAATATAATGCCCCCACCTTCCATGCCGCATGTCTCCTCCACACTATTATTAGGGTGAAGGAGGTAGGTAGGGTAACTATTTTAATCAGGGGGAGGGGTGGCAAGGAGCTTGGCAGTGGGTGGTTGGATACAGTTTTATTTTATTATTTATTTTATTATTAGCCTCCATACTCTGTGGGGGGCAGAAGGTCCATCCCGTGGGTCTTGTAGTAGAGCTCCGACCCACGGCCAATGGGTGTGGGTTGGGGGAGGCAGTATTAGAACCCTCATGTGGCAACAATGGGTTGCAGCTGGGAATTACATTGGATCCCCCGCCCAAAGCTCATCGGTGGGAACCCGGGGGGAAACTTGTTTGTTTTATTTAATGGCTTTGATGGTGCCACTATTTCTCCCTGCCTTTTTTAATTACCCCATCATGGGGGTAAGGATTAGTGACCGGGCAGTAATAGCTGTTTAATAGATATGCCCCTACCTGCGGCATGGCAGATGAAGAAGTATTTGAATCTACCATGTACTAAATGGTGGTCATATTAATTCCCTCACTCATGGCATAAGAGGATTTATTCTGCGTTTTAATAATAATATTTCAAGGAGGAAGCCTGTAGGTCTCAGCTTGTAATTAAACGAACAATCAAATGACCAACTTATTTGATCATCCAACAAGTTTCTTTCGCTGAGTTTTGCATTCGACCATTTGTCATGCTGAAAGATACCCGAATTGCTAAATTTTCTGACAAATATGTATTCGTCTACAAATGCCCAGGTCTACTACTTATGATGATTGGTGTGTTCCTTTAAACAAAAAGGTGGCAGATGTCAAAGAAGAGATTTAATGACTGTTTTAGAAAATCAGATCTTACCATTTGAAACAGGATATATGTGGTTAAAGTCTGCAGATTCATATTCTAAAAAATATAATATATGATTATTGAGGGATGTAATGCATGTATCCAATTTATTATAAAAATAAATATTTCTTGACAGCAATAAATATATATAATGATAAAACAAATGTAAGGAAAGACAAATTGGAGCGAAACAAACAAACATTTCTGTGAATGAAAATAACCATTTGTAACTGTGATGGTTGCTTTTCTCATCAATTTCATTTACATTGTATCCATTGCTCTTTCTATTACATTGAAAATAACAGAATTTAGGTAATTCAGTCTTTGCAGGATGAGAAAGTAGATGTACTGTTAACCCCCCACGATTGTACCTTCACAGTGGGTGAATGGTATATAATTTTATTAGCATATGTTTAATCAACCAATATCCTAACTCCCTTAGCATAGAATTAAAATAATATAAATAATAATAATGTTCATAAAATAATTGCACCAAAAATTATCCTATACATATACAAGGCCACGTATTTGAAAGAGGAAGAGTTCTGTTTTCAAATAAGGCCTCTAACAACTGTATTTTGGGGGGCAAAATGGAGCTACCCCACTTCTTTGCTGTTTTTACCTATGGCAAATTTGTTTTCAGTGGATTACGGTTTCAATTGTGATCGACCGACAGCTGCCTGAGCATGTGATTCCTAATTTGAAGGAGGGGGCTCTCATTTTTCATAAAGGGGTCTGTGTACCCCATTTTAATGCTCATACTGGGGTGTGCATGTCACAGCTTTAGGAAGCTAAGCACCCTAAACATCACATAATAGAGAGGGTTTTGCAATTTTTGGTCTGCTATCTAGGGGTGTATGAGACCCCTAATTTCAAAGATAAAAACGCCCTCTTTTTATTGTCTTTAGGAACAGGGACTCTGGACTTTGGAGCATTTATCTCAATAAACTGTAAACACCCTTTGTAGTTTACTGCCAGTTTTATGAAAGTCATGACCTGTGATGAGGAGTCTCTAATTAAAGAGGAGTCTCTAATTTTTACAAAGAATACATGTCCTCCCAGATTGAGCAAAGGTTGAGATCCCCCGCAAATAATATTTAAAGATGCTGCATGTGTTCAATGCTTTTGCGGTTATTATCAGCAACATTGGGAGACAAGTAACCTGAATCAGCCCTTTCAAACAAAGACTACATTAGCCCTTTTGGTCAGTGGTTCCCAAAGCAATCCTCATTGCCCAACAACAGTCCAGGTTTTGTCAGTATCTCCATTGGGATGGAAAATTGAAATACATAAATCCTGAATAGAATAGAGCATTTTAGTTATGAAGAAAGGTTAACAAATTTAAACATTTTAATTTTTAAAAAACGTGCATTAGAGGGGATATGATAACATTATACAAATATATTCAGGGTCAATACAAAACATTGTCTGGAAAGCTATTCATAAACAGGACTATATATAGTACACAAGGTCATACATTTAGACTGGAAGTCTAAAGCAAAGGAAAAGGAAAAGTTTTTTTCACAGTAAAAACAATAAGGAAGTTAAATTTTCTGCCTGAAGAGGTGGTTTTATCAGAGTTTGTACACATGTTTATGCAGCAACTGGATGAATACGTGCAAACACATAATATTTAGGGATATCATTTTTATAGGTGGTGTAATAGCTTATTGATCCAAGCAGAGATCTGTCTGCCATTCTGCGGTCAAGAAGGAATTTTTTCCTAGTTTGTTGCAAAATTGGGAGTGCTTCAAACTAGGTTTTTTGCATTCTTTTGGATCAACAGCAAAGAAACAAACATGAGAAAAGTAGAACTTGATAGACTCATGTCTCTTTTCACAACTATCTGTAATTATGTATGGACATCGGGCATTTGCCCAGTTGACTCCACTCCCTGTAGGATACACTGCCGCTGGGGAGAGACGCCGGCTGCCTCATCTCCCTGCAATTTACACTGCCGCTGGGTAGGAAGGACGGAACACTTTGCTACCTTTTCCCGCCATTCTGCTTCGTGCTGCAGGGACTTGGTCAGTAGGTTCCTCATGGACTGTACGTATTTCTCAGCTGGGTTGGGTCAGAAGAAAGCCAGCTGCCTCTTCAGCATAGCGTCAAACTCTGCTTCAGTGTAGCTGAGTGCCATGCTTGCTCTGACGAAAGTAAGTTCCTTTGTAGATAGGAGCACTGTATGGTAGCTAGCTCTATCCCTCCATTATAACTCAATAACGTTACCGGTATCTCCTCCGGGGTACCTCTGCCGACGGATGCTCCTAATGCTCCACGAGAACTCCAAGCACTCCACCAGACACCATCAGCACTGCAGACCCCACTAACCACCGCAGCTTGGTTAGAGTCTCGCCGTCTTCTACCCACCCTGGATCTACGAAAAGGGTCCAGGTTCCAGTGGTTAACCCTCTCTTCCTTCAGAAAGTTTAGCAGGAGCAGCTCTTACAAGAGCTAGTGAATATCCAAGGGAGTATAGTGAGTATAGCAATACCTGGCAGTGATATAGCAGTTCCCTACAATAAGAGACTCAGAACTCAGTATTGAGGGTGAAGAGGTCTGAAGGTTTAATGGTACAGGTTGGCTTTATATACAATTCCTCAGGCCAGAGGCACACCCACTGGACCTGATGGGGCACTGCATTGCAAACTGTACAGACCAATAAAAACAATGTAACAATGAACGACACTCCCACATACAGTAAACAATCCCTCTCCTCTGCCTGTGATATAATTAAGGTAGTTAATGCATGAACTTAATTATCCTCCACCTGGCAATCCTGCGGTTTGGGTTGGGGATTTAGACCAGCCATCCAGCATCCCTGTAGGTCTGGTGCAGGGAACACAGTCCCATCTACACCATCGGGGACAGGAGTGCCTCTCCTCTCTAGCTGGGGAGAGGGACTGGTTGTCTCCTCTCCCTGTAAGGTAAGCTGCTGCTGGTGAGAGAGGGCGATATGCTCCTCTCCCTGTAACACACACTGCTGCTGGAGAGTGAAACCGTCTCCACTCCCAATAACTTGTCCTGCCGCTGGGGAGACCGGTTGTCTCCTCTCCCTGGAAGGTAAGCCGCTGCTGGGGAGAGAGACCGACTGTCTCTTCTCCCGGTAAGATAAACTGCCACTGGCAGGGCCGCCATCAGAAATTTTGGGGCCCCTAACACAGCTCAAGGTCTGGGCCCCCCTTCAAGCCCGCCCACAGGGCCCTCCTCCAAATCCTGCCCACAGGAATACACACACTAACAGATACAAATACTGAAACAGACATACACACATGCATAGGGAGATACTGACACACACATGCAGACATACATACTGACAAACATACATATACATACACATACTGCATACTGATGTATACATACATACATGCATACTGACAGGCATACATACATACATACACACACACAAACACTGGCATGCATACATACAGACACACACTGGCATGCATACATACATACATACATACAGACACACTGGCATACATACATACACTGGCATTCATACACTTGCATACACACATATATACACTGGCATGCACACATACACTGGCATACACACATACACAGGCATACATACATATTTACAGTCTCCGAAATAACCTACCAGCCAATGCTTTCTCTGAGTGAGGAGCAGAAAGATACCTCCTAACTCCAGCTTTAAACAATGGACATGGCATCTTGGTACTGTGGTATATCAGCTGCTGGGTCCAGGAATACAAATATAACAATTTTAAAAAAAAATGTCCGTCAATTGCAGTCAGATAAATAGCGTTTTGGAAGATTTATAGCCAGCTTTGTTTTGTATCCATCTGTACAAATGGTAATACATTTCTATATATACACTGGCATACACACATACACTGGCATACACACCGGCATACATACACACACACTGGCATACACACACACACTGGCATACACACACAGGCATACACACACTGGCATACATACACACATACACTGGCATACACACACACACTGGCATACATGCACTGGCATACATACAAACATACACTGGCATACATACACACATACACACACAGATACACTGGCATACATACATACACTGGCATACATACACACACTGGCATACATGCACACATACACTGGCATACACACACTGGCATACATACACACATACACTGGCAAACACACACTGGCATACATACACTGGCATACATACACACATAAACTGGCATACACACACTGGCATACATACACACATACACTGGCATACATACACAGATACACTGGCATACATACATACACTGGCATACATACACACACTGGCATGCACACACTGGCAGACATACACACACCTCATTTTCAGCCACCCTCCTCTCTTCCTTACCATTTCGTTGCAGGAGGGTGGCTGGGGATGATGTGAGTCGGCTGCCTCTCCTCATGGCCTTTCTCTCCTTCCCGCGCGGAGTAAAGTGGGAGGAAGTGACCGAACATCACTTCCTCCCAGCAGAACTTGTAATATATGGGAGAGTAAGGGAGGTTACATTACTTTTCTCTCCCATATATTACACCTCCATTACTGGGACGACTGCTCGAATAGGGCTATATCATTTGTTTCGGCTGCTGTATCGTTCCAATATCAAGAACAAATAAACATTGCCGTTCAATCACCTCGAAGCAGTCTCCTATAATTGTACAGGGATTAGCAGCCCTATTTTTAAAGTGCACTGAGGCAACTGTATCATTTTTGGCAAACGGTCAATAAAATTCAATTGCAACATTAGTCTTGCCACGATACTTTGTTGCCTATTTCATATTCAGTGTGCTTTGCTTTGATATTTGCTAACCCCTGTTCTTATCCTCTCTATACAAGTTTATAGGTACATTCGTTTTGTTTTTGGTGTGTCCGTTATATTGATACCAGTTAATTGGAAGTACTCCTTAAAGGGGTACTACCCGATTTTAGTTTATTTTTTGCATTGGCCTTACCATTTGCCCTGGCATTTAGTAGTGGCACATAATTTAAGACCATGCTAGAGATAGTTTCTAAACTTGGTCAGGTAGGTGCAGCGTAGTCTTGCTGTCTTGCTATCAGGGAGACAGATAAGAATGATTTTGCCACTTTTCTTTCTGGACATGTTTTTACACTTTAGCATGTCATACACAAAGTCCCTTTAACAATCTTCTGATAATTAGTTAAAACATGGAGATGTAAAGTGGTTTGATTAGTGTCTTAGAAAAAGTCATTTTAAAAGTACGACTGGGTGCTTACCATCTCCACAATGGAATGTAAGTTGATATTCACAAACACATATGTTGGCTTTCCCCAGTCATTTGTTGGACGCACCGTTATAGATAAACCATTCTCCAGGCTTTTTTGAAGCTTGATGAAATCACAGGTCTGCTGGCACTGACCTATACCTGGTAAAGACACAATAAATAAAAATGCATAAAGAGAAATTTTATTCACATATTCGGAAATCTCACCCTTACATCTAGTATGCACAATTAAATAAGATAAGATATCTAAAACAATACATAATAAGACTTGTATTTGGGTAGATGCCCCTTGACCACACTTTTAACCCCTATGTTATACATTGAGATACAGACATCGCCAAGTAAGAGAGATAATAATATCACATTTATATTTACTGGCCCTACATTTTGGAGGCACAAGAATATCTTCTGAACTGTGAGTGGTTATGGTGTTTTTTTGTTTGTTTTTTTTTTAAATTTAGTCTGGGACTCTTGGTCTTACGAAGACCAAACAATCTATTGACTCAGGCCTATGAGCTTCTTCATCCCCTTATTTCTATTTCTTACCTTCTTTTTCCTATATATGGTGGCAGTACAATAGGGATGTACTCTTCCCTGGGGCAAGCATCTGAAATTAAAATTAACATAAAAAGTTCCTCCCACAACAGGTATAAGACACCAACCTACCATGAACCCTCAGTTCTCTTTTGTTCCATCAAGAACGAATGGCATCTGAAAATAGATCGGTGAGGCACATGGATTGGTGCCAGGGGGATCTGGCTTGATTTTCTCCTGGGTGGAGAGCTGAGTGACCTCTCTCCAGCCTGCGGAATTACAGAGCAGGTTTGAGCGTCTTGCTCTATGCCCAGTGCGGTCACTGGAAAAGCAAGTAGGTGGCCTTTAGTGGCAGCAAATCACTGCCCAATCAAGATGCATGCACACAGCGGTGAAACTCGCGGAAGGTGATGCGTTCCACCGGAGTTATGCGCATGCGCGATTGGAACTTCAGAAAACTGCCGCAAAATTTGAAAATCAGTGCCTATTTAAGCTGTACAGATTCTACTGACAGCATGGATGCTAGCCAGAAAGGATCTCTTGTGTCACCAACACCCCACAGGGGTCAGAGGTTTTAGAGGTGAGATTTTTTTAGTCTCAAATCTTTAAAATCTCTATGTTCTTTTTAATAGACTTAATTTAATTATTGTAATGTATTGCAGATACGTCTAGTCCTGTCTCTCCTGAAATCATGGATAAAGACAAAGTGACGGCTCCAATTCCTAAAAAGGCTAATTATAAAAAAAAACATCTGATATGTAGCGAATGTTTCACACCACTACCAGATGGTACCAAGAGAAAAATCTAAAATCAGTGTTCGTCCTTAACATTGGAAAAATCCAAGCAACAGGATATGAAATCATTTTTATCTTGGTTTCAAGACAATCTTGCCCAAACATTTGAATCATTCAAAGAATCAGCAAAATCAAATATTACAGCACCCGTTCAAGTACCAGCTAATAAGAGGCAAAAACAGAAGAGATCTTTATCTAGATCTGAGCTATTTTGGGGGGAATGTTCAATGTCTATCTATTTGGAGACTTTTAGCGATTCTTCAATAACGGAAATCGGTTTCCCACATGAAGATCTAAGAAAATGTATTAAAGAGGTCAATGTTACCTTATCTGAAGAGATATCAGAAAGCAACAAATAAAAGAGTCCTGCCAGCATATTCTGGAGCTTATGTACAGGGAGTGGAAAACCCCTGAAAAAAAGGCCATTTATGCAATTAAGATCATTTTTATAATGCAAGAAGAAGACAAGTGGGAAGACTTACCAGTTGTTGAGGTACAGGTTGCTCAGTTGTCTAAGAATACTACTATACCTATTGGGTAAGTCTCTGGACTTAAGGACCCTATGGATAAAAGGCCTGAAACATCTAGTAGGCAAGCACATCAAGCTGCGGGTTTTCAGACTAAAGTGGCTATTGCAGGAACTTCAGTGGCTAAAGCTCAGTCCTATTGGATTCATGCATTAGAAGATTGCATGATAGAGCACCAAGACAAGGATCTTTCACACCTGCTTCACAATCTAAGATTATCAAATGTATAACTGCCAGATGTGATCGGTCCGGGTGCCCGGGACCCAGACACTGCGGCGGTGTGAGGACCGGGACCCATTATGCCTGATGTTCAGACTAGGAGTCACAGTGTGGAGGTGGATTAGCAGGGTCTGGTGCAGGGCAACCGCACGCCCCCTGATGTTGAGCACCAGCGTTTGTGCAGCCACATACCAGAACCCTTATTCAGCTTATGCGGATACCAGGAACTAGGAGCTTGGAATTAAGCAGACCTCCCAGGAGCCGAATAGGGAGGCTCTGCAGCAGGAGTGTATCCAGTACTGAAGCAAAGCAAGACTAGAAATAGGCACCATACATGAACACAAGACAAAACTAGGAGAACCCAGAACCAGAGCAGGACAGAAAGCATAACCTAGAACATGTACACAAGACATGAGGAAAACAAGAACATAACATGGGCATGACTGGACAGGACTGTACATAGACTGGGATTACAAGACAAAATAAAACAAGACAAGAGATACAAGGTAAAACAAGAGGAGACCTAGTTAAGCACTATATATGAAAAGTATGGGGATTTAGTCACATTATATGATCATACATTGCATAAGCCTGCCAACAACGCCAATGTACCCCATATCTGCCAGGTCCTACACTGCCTAATATATGCTAAAACAACCACACTGAACCATTATAGCACTTACCTGCAAGAAAGGGCAGAGGCTTGAAACACTGCTGCAGGTCCAAGCTGAAACAAAAGGAAAGTGGAAAACAAACGGGTGTAAAAAACAAAAACATTTAAGTGAATCCAAGAGACTGGGAAATCCAGGGACAGAATATAAGAATGAACTCAGAAACCCAGCAATAAAGAAAACCAGACATAGACCAGAAAACCAAGCAAGAACAGCAAAAGGAGTACTGGATACCAGAAGCCATTGCCAGAATGATCCGCAGCGAGGAACAGGATGTGACAAGAAGTGATTAAACTATCTGCTTGTGGTATGGGTTTGGCCTCTGTTGCCCACAGAGCACTGTGGCTTAAAGCCTGGACAGCTGACACAGCCTAAGTTGCTCTATGTGAACTTCCACTGGAAAGGAAAAAAAATTTGGATCTCCTTTGGAAGAATTAATCTGACAGATGTCAGAACCAAGAAGGACCTTCCTCAGGATTGGAAGTGTTCCTGGGAGTCCAGATATAAGAACTTCCAGTACAAAAGCCACATGGGATATCAAGAATACCCCAGGTTTTTTCATCAACAAAAAAAGATCCAAAGTTTCATGAACATAAAGATGTCCAAACTGATAGAGCAAAAAGATTCTGATGCCATACGAGTGGGCGAAAGGATACAACAATTTTTTCACAGATGGAAAGAGACCACTGCAAATCTGGGGATTTTGAATTTGGTTGCAAGAAGATTTCTTAGAAATTTCCAAGACCAGATTTCCTTATATCCTCTTATCGACCAAATCTAAAAAACCAAACACTCGACTCTGCTACAGTTACACTATTAAAAAAAAAAGGTGTTTTTGAAAGAGTTCCAAGGGCCCAACAATATCAGGGAGTTTACTTTCGACTGTTCCTGGTTCCAAACCTATATATGTCATACCGTCCAATTCTAGATCTGTAGGGATTAAACACCAGGATTCCATATCAACATTTAAAAATGAAAAACATTGCTTTGGTCACGTATATCCTTCAGAAACCAGATTCCATGGCAACATTGGATTTGAAAGATGCTTACCTACACATACCTATAGAAGTAGGCTCAAGAAAATTCCTGCTGTTTGCCATAAAAAAGGGTTACAAGGTTCACCACTTTCAGTTCAAAGGCCTTCCATTCAGTCTTTCCTCAGCGCCAAGGAAATTTACACAAGTCCTAATGCCTATCACGGTGCTCTTAAGGGAAGAAGGAATCACAGTTATTCCCTACTTAGATGACTGGTTCATCAAGACAAAGTCAAGAAACGCTCTGGTAGAAGATGTGACTTACACCCTACAAAATCCATTAAATTTCTAGTTTTTTTTAAATCAAGTCAGACATTCTTTCAATCCACCTGGCTGCTATGAAAAGAAGGAAGATAAGGAAGCAGATAACAGACCTTCAGAAAGAACCAAAATGCTCAATAAGGAAAGCCATGCAGATGTTAAGACACCTCATTTCCATTATCCCAGCAGTAAAATGGTCAAGAGCAGAATCAAGACCTTTACAAACCTTCTTTCGAAGTGGTTCAAGAAAGAAGAAGACTTGGATACTATGATAAATATTTCAGATCCTGTAAGAGGACAGCTGAATTGGTGGTAGCAAACCAGATTCTTTTTAGAAGGTCTATCTTTTTGACAAAATGAATGGGAAATAATTACCACAGATGCTTAAAATACAGGTTGGGGAGAGCACCTGCAGTGTCATATCTAAGCAGAACAAGATGGTCCCAGATTGAATGGTCTCTGAATCTAGTCGTTTTTTCTCAGCTTGTGAAAATATTTAGTCTGCCTGTCATATATCTCATGGCGAGATTATCAAACACAAAGGTACAAGCATTTGCCTCCCTCTTCAACTCAGACTTGCGTCTGGTTCTGGATGGTCTTTCAATCAAGTGGAACTTCAGCCTCGTGTACATATTTCCCCCAGTAAGCCTAATTCCACGAATTTTGGAAAAAGTGAGAACAGAGAAGGCAGTCGTACTGGCCATAATTCCATACTGGCCAAACTGGAGCTGGTTCTTGGTTTTGAAGGCAATGGTTTTGAAGTACTGGTAACTTCCACTGTCAACAGAGCTCCTGGAGAACTAAGGGATTCCAAAAGAAGTATTGAAGATGTTCAAATTGACGGCTTGGCTGCTGCACGGCTAATCCTACATCACAAGGGTATTAAAAAAAGAAAGATTCAAGATTCTTCTTAATTCTACCAGAAGATTTACCTCTGATATCTACTTGATAATTTAGACAAAATTCCTTCATTGGTATCATCATTGGTATCATCATTGCCTAAGACCTTCTCCTTCAACTGATATAATTTTGCATATTCTGCAAGACGGCCTTCAAGCGGGTCTGAGGTTATCAACCCTTAAGGTTCAAGTATCTGCTCTTTTCAAATTTACAGTATAACCCATTTTTAGTAGTGTTTGCAAAACTTGTTTTACATGCCCGTGGTGAGTGGAGAGATCAGAAGAATATATGAGTATTTCGTCGAGATACACCAAAGCAAACAAATAAATTAATTCTCTAAATACATCGTTTATAAGATCCTGAAATATGGCTGAGGCATTACATAAGCCAAAAGGCATGACTAAATACTCGTAATGCCCATTTCTAGTATTGAAAGTCATTTTCCACTCATATTCCTCCTTTATCCTCACCAAATTATACACACTCCTAAGGTTGAGTTTGGTAAAAAATTTGACACCTTGGAGTCTGTCAAATAATTTGGAAATCAGCGGTATAGGATAGGCATTTTTCACAGTGAACTTATTTAATGCCTTATAGTCAATACAGGGGCTTAGATCTCCTTTTTTAGATACAAAGAAGAAACCAGCACTGGCTGGAGAAGAAGATCTATGTATGTGACCTTTAGACAAGGACTCGTTTATATATTCCTCAATTTTTTCTTTCTTAAGGTATATACGCCACCCTTAGGGAGTATAGTACCAGGAAGAAAATCAGTGGAGCAATCGTAAGACCTGTGAGGAGGTAAAACATCAGTGTGTACTTTGTTAAACACTTCTTTAACCTCCAAATAGGGGACAGGAACCTCAGTAGAAAGAGGAGCAGTAGTAGGTACATTAACCATGACTAAGCTCTTAGACACTTAAGTCTACATTCACCACTCAATTCTAGAATCTCACCCTTAACCCAATCTATATGCAGATTGTGCTTGAAAAGCCATGGAAAACCAAGTATTATGGGACAAGAAGGAGATGAAATAACTTGGAAGGTGATAAGGACCTTGTGTAAAGCCCCTACCGTTAAGGTAAGAGGTAAGGTTTCTTGTGTGATCAGAGGTTGGGACAGTGGTCTACCATCTATGGCCTCAACGGCCAAAGGTGTGGTTCTTTATTTGAGCAGCACTACATGGTTCATAACAAACAGTTGGTCTACAAAGTTTTCAGCCGCACCAGAGTCAAGGCATCAAATGAGAAATTTACATTATTGCTTTGGGCAAAAACAAAAAAAGCATAAACCTATTATGAGGCATACCAGGGGACATATACATCACACCCGAGGATGGTCCCAGGACGGTTCTTAGGTGCGCAAGTTTTCCGGCCCGAATATGACAAGATATTCTCAAATTACCCTTTTTTCCACAATATAGTTCTTCATTACTCCTATATAGGTTTTCAGCCTCAGATAATCTCATCACCCCTAATTGCATGGGTTCAGGTCCAGGAGCAGGAGATGGAGCAGGTTAAATAGGAGCGGAGAAATGGGGGGCAATAGACAAGTGGGAATGTTCTATTTCTTGTTCTGTCTCTATCTCTTAGACTGTTATCAATATGCATCATGAAAGTGATGTACTCATTAAGTTTTTCTGGTAATTATTTAGCAGCAGTCTCATCAAGTACTGCATCAGACAGAACTTCAGAAAAGGCAGTGATTAAACCGCTGTTAGTCCAGTCGACCTCTGAAGCAAGGGTACGAATTTCAATGGCGTACTCTGCAACAGACCTATTGCCTTGTTTTATATGCATTAATTCTTTGGCAGTGGTTTTCTCTTTACCCAATGGCTCAAATGTCAGTTTAAACTCAGCAAGGAATTCTTTATAGTCATAAGCTATACATTTATTGCTCTCCCATAGATGATTGGCCCATGTTAGGGCCTTACCTGGATCTATCAGAAGGGAATGATCCAGGAGACGCCTCAAAATGATATTCTATTTGATTAAGAAATCCACAACACTCCTGAGCATCGCCTCTAAAATGAGGAGGAGGTGATAAGGATATTGAAGGATACACAATAGCAAAGCTCACAACAGGAGGGGTAGGACAGTTGATCGTCGGGCTGAAGATGAGCCGTACACAGGGCCGGATTAAAATAGGGGCTGATGGAGCTGCAGCTCCAGTCCCAGGCCCATGGAAAAGGCCCATTGATTTAAAAAAAAAAAAAAAAAATGTTTTTTACTTTTTTTTTTTTACAAACTACTCTTAGGGTTGCCATCTTGTCATCTGGCCAGTATTTATTTGTGGCTGCCTGGTCGGTGCCGATAATGCAGTAATACCGGCATTTTTCTGCCGGTATTTTTCTCAGTATAAACAGAGACTGCTCTGCAATACCATGACTGGCCACTAGGGGTTGCTGTGTGTGTAGAGCGAGGCACGGATAGGAAGTTACAGCATATACCTGCATCTCTCTACTCACTGATCTGCGGGGGAGCAGCTACAAAGCACAGAGAGTGCAGAGAGCAGCTCCCAACCTGCAGAGACAGCTTACAGATCACGGAAGTGAGGGATGGGGTAAAGGCTGCTGGGAGTCATGGGGACACTGACACACCAGGGGACACTGTTAGACATGGGAACACAGGGAGACCTCTGGGGATGCTGAAACACTTGGGGACACTTGGGGACACGAGGACACAGACACAGGGACACTAGGGGACACATGGGGACACTAGGGGACACTGAGACCTGGGAGCACTGAGACACTAGGGGATGCTTGGAGACATTGGGACACAGACACACATGGGGACACTGAGACATGGGAAAACAGACACACATGGAGACACTGAGATATAGGGACACTGAGACACTTGGGAAAACTGGAAGACATGGGAACACTGAGACACTTTTTTAAATCAATGGGCCATCAGCCCCTATGTTAATCCGGCCCTGAATTTGGCCAAATCATGACTGAATGTTAAAGGGACACACCATGCACCAGAACTACTGCAGATGTATGTAGGTAAACACTGCCTTTTCATAGACCTTTTCAGTGTTTGCTGCTGCTTATTGCACCCACTAGTGGCTGTCACTCGGATAGCCACTAGAGGGACAGACTGGGTTCAGTCCTGCAAAGATTGAAGGTCCAATGTTCGAGCCTCTCTGCACCACTGCATCGAGACATCAAACACTGTGTTGAGTCAATGCATTTCTATAAGGAAATGCTGACTGGTACAGTGCGGCAACTACAATGCATGCAACGCACTAGCTTTTCACTAAACATGGGATCTTATAGCAGTAAAACTGTTCACAGCATCATCTACTTTCTGTTATTCTAGAGCTTCTTTATGTTTTGACTGATCACAAAAATCTTATTTATATTGAGAGTGTAAAAAATGTTTAAAGGACCACTATAGGCACCAGACCACTTCAGCTCAATGAAGTGGTCTGGGTGCCAGGTCCCTTTAGTTTCAGAGAAATTGCTATGTTTACACTGCAGGGTTAATCCAGCCTCTAGTGGCTCTCTCACTGACAGCCACTAGAGGCGCTTCCGCAATTTACACACTTATTTGACGCTGGACATCCTCACGGACCTCCAGTGTCAAAAAAGATCCCCATAGGAAAGCATTGAGTAATGATTTTCTTATGGGTGGGTTTAAATGCGCACGCGCCTCTGGTGGCACATGTGCATTTGGCTCAACAAAAATCTAGCGTCGGTGGGGGAGGAGAGGTTTTAACCCCTTCAGCGCCAAGGGAGGGGGGCACTCCAAGAGCCTATAGTGCCAGGAAAACAGGTTTAATACTCATGAACCCTTTTGGATCATCTTCTTTACATTCTTAATTTTTACTATTTTGTCCATTCTAAGCTCAGCTGCATAATTCCAAGATACTGGGAGAGAACAAACTGCAAATACTACAGAAATTATTGATTCTCACAACACAAACATATACATACATACATAAATCCATACCTGTTCTCATTAAATTATATATCTATACTTTTTAAATAAACATGGAGTGATGCTTTATCTGTGGAAGATTCATAGCGTCCAAAAATTTATTTTCCACATTTCAATCCTTCCCAGAAATGCAGATTTTCAAGAAATAAAACAGTCTAGTCTACAATGAATAGTTCTTTTCATTTTTGTTTCTGATATTTCCAAAGCTGCTGTAGCATATAATCACTTACCTAAAAATGTGGATGTGATCAACAAGGATATAACGAGAAGCATTTTGATGAGATTCCCATATGTTGATTTGGAGACTCAAGTTTTAAATGTTTGTTGTTGAACGGTCACAATACGTTCTGCATGTCGATGGTTTTTAACTATTGCATGCAAAGGAATCCAAGACCAGAAATACTAGTTTTAAATAACTTTGGTATGTTAAAAACTATGGTATTTAAGATAGATAGTTAAAATGATTAACAAAAATGTTATTTTTTCTTCCAAACAGTAACATAAAAGTTATAATACTTCATAACTAAAGCCTACAAGAGTATTGTGTTGGGAGCTCACATTAAAGCAGCACTCCAAACACCATAACCACTACTTATTGCTATAATTCTCTTTTCCAAGCAAATATGTGAAGAATCCAAATCCAAATATGTTTATTTTTACCAACATATAATCTTCCTTTATACTGGTCCATCCCTCTTGAAAATGGCAAAAGGAAAAAGAAAAACCTAATGATCATGAAAAAAAATTCAGATAAAAGGAGTAAAATTGAAAGGCCTTTTAGCAGGGATGGATTATGATTTGTGGCTTAGGAAGAGAGATAAAAAAAAACAGTTACTTAAAAGGTATTTACAGCTGGGAGCGGCAAGGGTTGTTGGGGGGAAGAAGGAATGGAGCAGGTAAGCTATTTGTTATAAACAACTATTTGCCAACCAAAATTCTATCAGCCAGATAAATTATATTAATAACTACATGTAACATCAAGTACAAAATATTACAGCAGTAAACTATATGTAACAATGGTAGTATCTTTATAGTAAAGTAATAATCTGGTAACAAAATGAAAGAAAACGGGTTGCATATCTTCTCCATCTCAGTCCGTCTTCTCCATCTCAGTCCGTACCTTACAGCTTCAGTATTCAAAATTAAAAGGCCTTGTACCAGGGATGTATGGTGATTTGGGGCTTACAGCTGCAGTATTTAAAATTAAAAGACCTTATGGCAGAATATTGTTACTCCTTATATTATATTGATCCCATACTCCTTATATGATATTAACTTACATATCAAAACAAACACAAATATATACAATAATAAACAACCCCCCCCCCCACTCAACAGCCCTATTCCCTGTATTCTCTTCCCAAAACCTCCTCTCTTGTGTATCTTTTTTAAATCCTATCTCCTTCCTACTGCTAAAATAAAATTGGTATCATTTATTGAAGCTCAATGCTTGTTCTTATTTCTCAGCCTTTTTTTTTCTCCTTCATTCTTATTAAGAATTCTAATTAATGTTTTTGTTTTTTAATCTCCTTTACCCATTTCTTTGTATCTTTTCCATGGAGCCCATCGTTTGATATGTTCTGGTCTCTTTGGTTTGTTCAAATATATCATTTGTTCCATATTACATATCTCATCAACCATAAATACCTTGACAGAATTAATGAATCTAACTGTGAGGGATTCCAAGTAGTGTTTAACGGGATTGTATTATGTAGTAAAATTTGAGATGGATTCATATCAAGCTCTCGGTCATCTATTGATTTTATTGTTTTCACAATTTTTTCCCAAAATGGCCTCATAAGAGAACAAGACCACCAAATGTGTATAAAGGTACCCACGTCTTTCATACATCGCCAGCACTTTTCTGAGTTGTTTTGCTTTATCTTATGCAAGACATACAGGACCCTATACCATCTGGTATAATATCTTGTATGCATCCTCCTGTGTTTTTACAAATAATGAGCACTTGTGTGTTATTGTGGCTATTTTTGTCCATTGATCATTTTATAAGACAATGTTGAGATCAAACTCCCATTTTCTAAATAAAATATGGTTAATTCTTTTTCTCGCCCTCTGTTAATATTTTGTAAACTTTCAATATCAATCTATTTTGGGGCTCTTGTGACCAACATAATTTCTCAAAAGGCGTTTGTGTTTCTAATGTTTGTGATTTTTGTTTAATAGTAGATATATAATGCTTTGGGATTCTATGTAAAATATCTGCAAATTATAATTCTGTGGTCTCTTTAAGGTGTTATATTCTTTCAGGAAATGTCCTATTTTAGGATAGGGTATTTCCTATGGGAAAGAGCTCTCTCTAAGCATTAGCATTCTTCTATCATACAATCTTTTCTACAAAATACTTTTTGATAGACAACTACTTCAGATAAAAGCTGAAATAGAAAAGAACTCCGGAATGTTGCAACATGAGATTCAAATAATTGAAGAAAAAGTCAACACAATTGAAGTAAATATGTAAAAAAAATGAATATAGAACAAAATCCGATGAAAGAAATTACAAACCATTCATCTACAAAGCCAGAAACATTTGAAATAAAAATAAATTATTTAAATCGAACCAATAGCAATGAAAATTAGAAATAAGGAAAGAATTGAAGATTTTTCTATAAATCATAGGCAATACAAAATGAATTTATATGCTGATGACGTTCTTTTGACATGACTAATCCAAGTCTTTTATGAAAGAAATTCAGTCATACAGTACAATTGCAAATTACAAAATAAATGTAGAAACATCAATGATTCTTTCCCTAAATATAGATCAAGAACGTAAAAAACAAAACAAATTAAAAGCCAATATAACTTTAGTTAAGTAAAACATAGTTTTACATTTTTGGGTATTAAAATTACAAAGAATCTTAGGAAAAGTCTAGCCCGTACTTAAGGACAACATGGAGAGATGGTGCAATCTAGAAATTTCATGGTTGGGTAGGATCAATTTGGTTAAAATGAAAATACTTCAAAAAATATTATATTACTATTCCTCTATCATTTTTTAGAAAAGTTCACTATACCTTTTTGACATTTACTTGGAATAAGAAACCAACAAGAATAAAGTTATTTGTTTTACAAAAACCTAGGGTATGTGGGGCTATGGGTTTGCCAGACTTTGCTCATTATTACCATGATACCAACGCATCTGCTGCATTAAAATACAGACAGCCTCTACAGGGTCAGTTGGGGATATCTGGAGAGAGTTTTAGCAAGCTTTGGGTTTAAAGGTTGGATCTCTAAAGCAATAATGGCATTATATTCTGCTCCCTCAGTGAGAACAGTTGGAGCAAATATATGTGCGGGTTGGTTCGACCTAAAGAATGGAACAAGACAGGGTTGCCCCCTGTCTCCTTTGTTATACATACTGTCGGTCGAACCTCTCGCAATCAATATTAGAGAAAATCTAAATATTAGGGGATTCCATACAAAGAATAGAGAGATTAAAATTGCATTATATGCTGATGACAAAATCATAACAATTACATCCCCGGAACAATCTTTACCATATCTAATGCAAGAAATTAACAAATACAGTGCAGTTTCAAATTATAAACTGAATATTACGAAATCTATGGTGACAGCGGCGTACATACTGTGGTCGCAGGGGTCGCGGCTGCGACCGGTCCCGGCACTCCAGGGGGCCCGGACGCCCTGCGGATGCCCGCGACCAGGTACCAGGCCTGCTGCCACATTTTGCGGCCCCGGCCCACACGGCAAACCGCCGGGGCCGCATATGAAGGGGTCCATCGGGTGGCCAATGCTGTCAGGGCCACCCGATGGCTATGGATTGTGAGTGGGCCCGGTCAGCGCTGGGCGCTTTAAGAGTGCAACCTGTGATTACATCAGAGCTGGGAAGAAGTGATTCTCCAGTCACTGCCCCCAGTATACCGAGAGCCCGTGCGGGAGGAAGGAGGAGGAGGAGGAGGGAGTCAGAGTACGAACTCTGACTCCCATCAGGCTGAGCCACCACTGGACCCCAGGGAAAGTAAGAAGGTAGGAAACACTTTGTGTATGTGTGTGTGTTTCTCTGTATGTATGTGTGTGTGTGTCTCTGTATGTGTGTGTGTCTGTGTATGTGTGTGTCTCTGTTTGTGTGTGTGTGTGTGTGTGTGTGTGTCTGTGTATGTGTGTGTCTCTGTGTGTGTGTTTCTCTGTGTGTCTGTGTCTCTGTATGTGTGTGTCTCTGTATGTATGTGTGTCTGTGTCTCTGTATGTTTGTGTCTCTGTATGTATGTGTGTCTGTGTCTCTGTATGTATGTGTGTGTGTTTCTCTGTATATGTGTGTCTCTGTATGTGTGTGTGTGTGTGTGTGTCTGTATGTGTGTGTGTCTCTCTATGTGTGTGTGTCTGTATGTGTGTCTGTGTCTCTGTATGTATGTGTGTCTTTGTCTCTGTATGTATGTGTGTGTGTGTGTTTCTCTGTATATGTGTGTCTCTGTATGTGTGTGTGTGTGTGTCTGTATGTGTGTGTGTCTCTCTATGTGTGTGTGTCTGTATGTGTGTCTCTCTATGTATGTGTGTGTGTGTTTCTCTGTATATGTGTGTGTCTGTATGTGTGTGTGTCTCTCTATGTGTGTGTGTCTGTATGTGTGTCTCTGTATGTGTGTGTGTCTGTGTCTCTGTATGTATGTGTGTGTGTGTTTCTCTGTATGTGTGTCTCTGTATGTGTGTGTGTGTGTGTGTCTGTATGTGTGTGTGTCTCTCTATGTGTGTGTGTCTGTATTTGTGTCTCTGTATGTACGTGTGTGTCTCTGTAAGTACGTGTGTGTCTATGTATGCAGTGGCGTACACACAATCCATGGGGCCCCGTATGTATATGTCTGTGTCTATGTATGTGTGTGTCTATGTATGTGTGTGTCTCTGTGTGTGTCTGTGTCTATGTGTGTGTGTGTGCCTGTGTCTCTGTATGTATGTGTCTGTGTGTGTGTGTGTGTGTATATATGTGTGTGTGCCTGTATGTATGTGTCTGTCGAGGGATGTGTGTGTGTCTGTATGTATGTATGTGTCAGGGGGATGGGGGGGCACGGATTGGGGGAGAGAGGGGAGCACGGATCGGGGAGATCAGTTTCGCAGCGGGGGCCCCATGGATTGTGTGTACGCCACTGTATGGTGATGTATAAAAACATTGATAACTCCACAGGGGAAAATTTAAGCAAAGAATATAAATTTATATGGACAAAAAAAAGAAATAAATCATTTAGGCGTGATAATACTCGCCAAAGTGGCGAATACTATGGAAGTTAATGTTATGAAGTTATTAAAATATACAAATACAACTTTAAAAATATGGAGAAATGTGGAAACATCATGGTTGGGGAAAATTAATACTATCAACTCATTTTACCGAA